GCATATTGTCGCAACGAGCTTAATGGAGAATATGTAAAACATTCTTATACAAAAACCAGCAGCGGATCACCCTGCCGATTTTGAAAAATTCCTGGGGATTTTTCGACCAGTCCAGATTCTGGGTCCCCAGAGTAATAGGCTGCCACCTTGACCGTTCGGCCATCCGACCGGCTTGTGAAAGTTTATCTGGCTCAAAGATTATATTTGTTTAGTTAGAGCTGAAATCCATTATTATAAACTAATTATATTTTTATCGACTTAGTTTACTTGACTTGCTTCCTGGCAAATTGTCAAATTTTAATGTAGAAAAATTTGTTATTTTCGTAAATCATTTTTTTTTCAAGATGATTCGGGAGGATGTACCGCCACTTAGGGAGTTTATTTTGGAGGTCATTTTGAGGAAATGTTTTGTCTCAATTTTAAGGAAACGTTTTGTTTCCTCAAAATTGAAATTAGAATCCAAGCTTATAGCTGTTCTATAAGCTTGGATCCTATTCTCAATAATTACGCACTGTTCACAATGAATTACTCTGTCACAATCGAGAATAGTACATAAGTTTAAAGGACATTTTTCCTTAAAAATGACCTCCGATATAATCTTCATAATTGGCATCCTCCAAAATCACATTTGGAGAATAACAAACAAAAAAAATATATCTAAATGTATATTTAAAAGTTAAATACAGTTGCATAAAAATTAATTGCTGAATGCTAAAATGACCAGTTTATATTTAAATATGTTTTAAACTGAGCACATATCGCAAAATTATCAAAATATTCTCGCTTAAAATATTTTATTGTGTCTCTGGTTAAAGGGAAACTTAATTTATTTCAGAAATTTTGTTTTAATATGGAGGATATAATCGAAAGGACCGCCCTTCCGATCTGCTGCCACCTAGGAATACTATTGTCGATAAATTTTAATAAATTAATTTTTAATTGTCATCGACAAAATTAGAAACTTTATCAATAGTTTTTTTTACTGTAAATAACGGTATAATTAAAATGTAAAAGACAAAATTAATGGCTTCCTTTAGTATATATAATTTTAAATTATTATTGCTTACAAATAAAACGTTAATAATTATCAAAAACATTTATTAATTAATATTTTAAAATTATTAAATAAAGTCAATAATTTTAAAAAATTAAAATTAAAATATTAAATTTCAATTAAAGTAAAATTCATTAATCATTTAAATACATATTTAAAATTTTGTCGGAAGATGGCGTAAAGGGAGTGTTGATGTATTATGCGTATTTATGTTTTAACGAATTTTGAATATGAAAAGTGTTTCATATCTTTAAAATTAGATAAATTTTAGCCGAGAATGTCAAATGATGTGGTAGAGTGTCTTTTGAAGAGCGAAAATCCGTTATATTTAGATGTTAATTTACCTGACGGTAAATCTGTCATTGTAGGGAGAAGTAGAAGCACTAAAATTAAATCTAAAAGGTGCTCTAAAGAACAAGGTAATTCGGCGTAAAAAAACGACAAAAAAATATAAAGATATTTCATTGATGGTAAATAAAATAATAAAACCAATAAACAGACACAAAAATCAGACAGCCTAGTTAATGGTTATTCAACTTTAGTGCAATACAGATTTGTAGTTCAGACAATTTACATAATATTAATCTGAATTTCCTCATATATAAAAATAGAAAAAGTAGTTTTGATATATTTTAAATGTCAACTAGATTTTCTAGTTTTTTTTGGTGTTAGAATATTTTCTGCTTTGGTATGGTAAGCAGAATTCTATATAAGTAATTTTAAGTAGAATAATTGCATATATTGCTTCAATTAATACTTTTTTCCCTAAGTTTTTGCTTTATGACTGATGATAAAAATACTTCAAATTTTAGTTTGTATTCAAATTTATTCGGTTGGTTGGTGGATTTGTTAGAGGTATTTATGCCCTCGTGAGTGACCGTATTATTTATTGCTCGAACTGGGGTGGTTTTAAAAAGATTGGTCTAAAAATGTCTAAACTTGGATTATTTTTTAGAAATTATTTATATTAACTTATAAAATAGTTCTGTTTCATATTTTATTTTTAAGGGTTAAATCTGGGACTCTTTTGAGACAAACTGAGATATATGGTCACTCTACTCGTGTAATATTCTTGTCATTTAAGTTTTATTATATTTGAATAAAACAAATTTGAATATTTTTTAAAATATTGATTGTAATAGGTTTACAGTATATTTATTAATAATGGTGATAATATATGTTTTGCTTCAACAATGAAAATTTATAATAATAATTTTTTGGAATAATTTGAAAAGATGATTTTGATATTATATTTTTAAAGCTATATAATCAGTTATACATGAATAATTATGGTAGATTCAATACAATATTTCTGTCAAAGCCACTTGCCTTTTAAAGATGAAAATAACTATAGTTTAATTAAATAAGTTTTATGTTGATGGTAACATTATATGGTCTATGTTTTGATAATAGTATTAACTTCTTTAGATTGAATGTAAAAGATGAACTGAAGCTATGTTAGAAGGCAAATTGGTAGTTGTTTTCTTGTAGGAAATAAGTACTGGAAAGGTATAATATTATATATTAAAAAATAATAAAAAAATTATCTTTTTGATAATTTTCTTTCAATTAATAATATACCTATACTGCTTGCCAAACTATGTGGATTAAAAAGTGTTTTGTATTTAAATATTTTACATTTTTGTTAATGAATAATGGTTTGTTTGCAGTTTTATTTTTCAAGTACTACAATGCACTCATGATTTATGCAATGTTCCATTCCTGGAGCATAAATAAAAATTTTCACAAATTATCCTGTAGAAATACATTATAATTAAGGATATTGACATATTTTGATAGCAGTTATAACAACAAACAATTTTTAAACCTTATTTTATATGGAAGAGTTAAAATTAATAAAAAGTTTATTATATTTGGCATAAATAAGATATGATTAAATGAAATTTTTAATGAAAATCTACATATATTATGAAAAAAAACTATATTAATTATTGAACACAAGACTGTGTTATTATTAAAACACTTGGCGTTTTTCCTCTTTATTCAGTTGATACAGGTACTTTTACATGTTTCGGGCATATAGCCCCTCATCAGTCAACTGATAAGAAGAAACATATACAATAGATTATTACATTTTGTAAAATAAACTGTAAAACAAAACTAAAACATGTAACATTTAAGACATACCATTAAATATGCAATGACACTCGTACAGCACAAGTTCATATTCACTTTACCGGGAGGATAAGTTGATGACGTTGACACCACAAACCTACATACATTCAATTAAACAATAAAACTCTGTATAAATATACACGCCCNAAATATCTCAGAATATTATTGATTATTAGCAACAATCCTTTCTAAGATTAATGAATATATTGGTTTGTTTCTCACAACTTCTCTTTTTCACACAACAGAATCAGATAAACTTCGCTTAGCTTATCATAACTGGATCAATACACAATATTGAGTCAGATTGCTAATTTGCATTTTTACCATTTATGATGGTCAGATTTTACATAATATTTGTAATAGCCAAAGGTATCAAAATAAACAGAACATATTTAAATATTTTTTTAAAATTTTTGGAATTTTCTTAAACACACCAACTATCTTAGAAAGGATTCTGCATATATATTTATCAACTTTAATAAGAAGATAGAGGATGTGTTACGCCTACTTAACAGTAAGAAATAACAGTTAACAAAAATTGGTATAATTAAGTACGTTGTCGGTATGGGCGTGTATATTTATACAGAGTTTTATTGTTTAATTGAATGTATGTAGGTTTGTGGTGTCAATGTCATCAACTTATCCTCCCGGTAAAGTGAATATGAACTTGTGCTGTACGAGTGTCATTGCATATTTAATGGTATGTCTTAAATGTTACATGTTTTAATTTTGTTATACAGTTTATTTTACAAAATGTAATAATCTATTGTATATGTTTCTTCTTATCAGTTGACTGATGAGGGGCTATACGCCCGAAACATGTAAAAGTACCTGTATCAACTGAATAAAGAGGAAAAACGCCAAGTGTTTTAATAATAACACAGTCTTGTGTTCAATAGTTAATAAATACAGAAACACGGTTTCAAAAAACGAATAAAAAAAACTATATTTTTTAAGATGTTTGTCTGAAAGTATCTGGATACTACAGTAAACAATTGTAGATATAATTTGTATCACTTACTGCAATCCTTTGATTTTTTGAATTACCATATTTATTTGTTTTAATTCATTTAGCACAGCTTTAAATTCTTAAGTCGTCCTATACATGCGAGTGAAAGATTCTTTGAGTTTTTGTAATAATTTTTGTGAACAGTGTATTTGCATTTTTTACCGGATGCTTATCCTCTTGTATTTAAAAACATAAGTATTTTATCTGGGTCGTTTGAATTGTTCTTATATATTGTCAGGAGTAAAGATGAATAGCAATAGGAAAAGCAAAGCTTTTGAATTAAATTCCAGATTGAAATTTCAAAATCACATGGGATAATGATATAAATTTTAATCCATTCCCATGTGTAAACAGATGATTATTCAGAAATCATAATTTGGAGAAACTCATAAGTGTAATCGACGGAGAGTGGATTCGACTGTTAAGAATTGGCAAAAAAAGGTTCCTGATTGTCCAGCTTTACATGAACAAATTATGTACAAGATTTTTCCTTAAAGTTTAAAATGCCAGTAATTTTTGCAGGACAATGTGTGCATTTACGTTCATTTGATATTTTACTTGTGATTAAACAAAATAAAATTAGAATTTTATTAATAAATCTAATTTTCTTTATTTTGATCTTTAAAGTCACACCTTGTCCTATATGCAAGGTTGTCTTATTCGAGTAAATACGGTAGTTATCAATTTTATAACAGAATCAAAAACTGATTCTGTAAATATATCTTGATTTTTACTTATATAAATAATATACTGCAAATAAAAATTATTTACTTATACTGCAAATAAAAATTATTATTATTTGCAGTATAAGATTAGGTTTTTCAAAATCATGTTGAGATTGGATCACATAAATAATGAGTACATTATATATCATGTAGAAAAGGAACATATCTTAGTCCAATGCTGTATTACTTTCTTATTTTGAAATTAAGTCAGTTTTCTAGATTTGGAAAACAGAACTATAAACACATGCTTAATAGAATCATTTTTTTATGAATAATGCAAATTATTTAAACAGAAAAAATTGCTTTTGTTTGACAAATGTAATAACTGATTAATTAGACACATTAAGAGTAACCTGACTTCCTGCAAACAATTAACGTATATACTTCTAAACAGTTTTTTCTCATCTTCCATTCAGTCTAAATAAAAAAAATAACATTTTCAAAACATTACTTATTTAATGTAAAATTAGTTACTAAATATGAAATCTTTATCTGTTTTTATTGTTATAGATCAAAGCAAAATTTTCAGGTCTTACATCATTTATTGTAGCAACTCTCAAAATATATATGGATTATGATATTGAGATGAATGTGTGAATATTGAGATTTACATATATTAATGCAGAACTTTTTTTAAAATGTTAGAATAGTTATTTTTAATGGAAATTTTATGATTAAAAAATATATAGCAACATTTTTATCAGAATTTGATCACCAATTTATACGATACATAAACTTGAACATACATTTTAGCATCTGTATATATCTCTGATCAAAAATATCCCTGTAAATAAACTATTTTTGAGAACTTTAATTTATTGAATAGCAACTTTTATTTATTTCATTTCACATGATGAAAATGGTTTCATGATTTATGAATTTTTGTATTTGAGACATATTTAAAAAATTTTTAATAATAAAATAAAGGAAGTTTGTTTAAAATTAAAATATATCACTATTTGAGTACCACTAAAATACTGCACACTATATGAGTTTAAAGTGTATAACAGATTTTTAGTTCTTATTCAATAGTAATATTATAAAGAAAAATGTGATTGAATATTGTAAAGCAGTATTTTGCAATCTGTGAAGTGCAAGGGGCATTCAGCTTTTATCAAATTATCATTTTTTTAATATAAACAAACATTAATGTTTGTTTATATTAAAAACTCTTGCTGAACTCTTGACACTCTTGCTGAAATGTCTTGACAAGAGTTGAGCTCATGCAAACAGTATACTTCATTTAATAAGGTATATTGTTTTGTAGGCCATTAAATAAATTATAAGGACAGTATTTATGAAATTAGATTGTTGTAAAAATTGAAGGTGCGCAATTTTTTTCTGAAAAAGAAGAGGCAGAGATACAGAAAGTTCGGAAACCACTGTTGTAAAGTAATTGTTAAATTTTATAATTCACTTCATGTAAATGTTGTATTTTCACTTTAAGATAACATACCAGGAAAATGAAACAAAAAATATCTCAGAATATTATTGATTATTAGCAACATTTTATTTTAAAGATAGCAAAATACAAAACAAAAATCAGTATGATTAAAAAATTATTTGTGTTAAATCATAACATTAATAAATATAATTTATTCAGTAAAAGTGCAAATGCTTGTGTAAATTATTAATGAAATAAATCTTTAGAGAAATCAAAGATGACAAAAACTTTGGACACCTTTGGCATTGGCCCACCAGTCGCCAAGCAGTTTTCGTACCCTGAACACTCGGAGTTCGGTTGTGGGTTTGCGCCTCGCTCGGATGGGATGGCCATGTGGAGTTTTCTGGGTTTTCTTCACATCTCCTAAGTAGGGGCCAGTTACTCTTAAAAGACCTCCCAGAAGGCATCCCCTAGGCAGATTGCCCAAGTGTTGTGTTGCCATAACTTAACAAACAAACAGACCCTCAGCATTGACAGAAAATTTCTCAGATACTACTAAACATGAAACATTTCTATTTATTTAAATATTATTGGATATAATCTACTTATAATTTGCTTGTTACGTTTAAATAGCAATATTCATTTTTTAATGTAAAATAGTAAAATAAATGGCACCTGGAAAGCAGTAAGCTGCTCTTACTGGAAAGCAGTAAGCTGCTCTTACTGCTTTCCTAGAAGTAATTGTAAATGTAATAAGCCAACAACTACCAGATCATAACGGGCTATTATATCATGATTATTTTAAATTAATTACTAAATTTAGTAATTAATTTAAAATAATCACAATATAATAGCCTGATATAATCCAGTAGTTGTTGGCTTATTATGTATGTATGTTGAGTTTGTAGATATTGGTTTATGTAATTGTAAACTTTCATAAAGAAGGAAAGTCCTTGTATCAAATAGCTACAAAGCTTAAAATTGGTCAAGCAATAATTTTTGATATTACAATGAAGTACAAAGAAGCTGGTAGCATTGATCCAGGATGATGATATCAATAAATTATAGCAGATTCCTATCTCTCACAAAATTATTGAAGAAAACTTGCAATCATCACTTACAGATTGGTGATTGAATAGAATGCAGCTACTAGTAAACAAATTAATAAAGAGACTTGTTACATATATTTTCAGAAACTTGACTACACATTTTATCAGGTAAAATAATAATGCAGTTTTTCAGCATGAGAATGTAATTATTATGCGTCAATGTGATTTTTCTTTTCAAGCTAAGAAAAACCTTTGTTAACTAAGTATTGAGTGAAAAATTGATTGAAATGAGAAAAGGAAACTCAAAATTGAATGCAATATTGGAACAGTATTGTTTTCAGCAATAATGCCAAATTTGAGGTTTGCTTCAGAAGCAATGAAAAGAAGTGATCCAAATAAAGCATAAATTTTTTTGTCCTGAGTCTCTTTTAATTGCACAATGAGGTTCCCAGAAAGCATTATGATATTATGAAATTGCATGCATGCTTAAGGTTTTGGTGCACTGTATTTTATTGATAGAACAGTAAATTAAAAAAAAATATATCAGCAAATTCTTCAAGAAAACTTTCTTCCAACCTAGAAAAACTGCAAAAATATAATTTTCCAACAGAATGGTGCAAATTGCCAAACTGCCAAATGAACAAGGACAAGGCTTGCAAATTACAACATTAATGTGTTCAGTTGACCATCTAGCAATCTATATTATTTTCTCATTGGAAATCTATCAGAATAAGATCTCAACAAACTCTGACTGACTTACATAAAAATATCCAAGACATCCAGGATGGAATTACTCAATAAATGTCAGGCTCTTATTAATGCAACGTGTGAACATGAAAATGCAATAATACAGACAAAAGATGATATAACCAGAAATGAGCAATGTATGAAGTATTTTCTGTTATTGCTAGAGATTTTTTGTCACTTTGCTGTCTTCAAATATGTATTTCTTTAAAATTAATTAAAGCATTTACATTTTTACTGTGTTGTTAATATTAATGAAGGTCATGGTTTAATACAACAATTTTTATAAAAAGATTTATTACCTTTCTTCCTTTCACTATGTTCAAAATATAACACAGTTTAAAATCAAGAAGTTTCAGAGATATTTTTTTGAGGTTGTGGGTAGTTCTATTGAGGGGTACATAGACTTGAAGTCCAGGACTGTCATGAACTCTGGCGGGGAGGGTAGGTCCTGCAGGAGGCGGATGAGGTCGGTCGGTTTACTCACATTGTAGGGGTAGTCTTCCAGATGGGGAGTCAGAAGGTTGTGTATGGCTTTTTCTAACTTTCTCGTGGGCGCTCTCACCTTGTCCACAATCGGGCGTAACTGTTGGCCTGTCTTATGTGTCTTAGCATAGGCGAAAAGCCTAGGGACGTCGGGCGAATCAACTACTATGTCACGGAGTGCCAGGCGTTTAGCTAATTTAGAGTCAGCTAGACGTCTAACCTTAGCTTGTAGTTTGTCGATTACATCATCTTTCTCTTTCTCACACATTGTATTGTTGATGTACTCTCTTAAGCTCTGTTGATATGAACTGCGTTTCATGAGGACCAGTGTTCTGGACTTATCCGCTCTGGTGAGAATTATTCCGTTCTTTCGCATCCATCTAGTAGTACGACTTAGTTTGTCTCTGAGCTCCAAAACCTCTTGCTGTTCCTTAGCTTTAATTATGTTTATCGAGGATAACCATCTGTAATATTCCTTCTGCGTGTCTGGGAGGCTGTTTACAAGGCATTCCATATCTGGAATGAGGTCTCTGGTCCTATTCTTGGGCGGTGGGGGTGCGAAGGTTGGGCCATATTTAAGTACGTCTATAACGAAGTTAGGTGGTTGGATGTCGTCCCAAAGGATAAACGGGAATGTGGGGCGTTGGTTAGCCTTAGGTACCTGAAATCTTAGTATCCAATCCAGCTTCCTGCGGTCAAGTCTATGTACCCCTCAATAGAACTACCCCCAGCCTTCTGCTCCCTCAGAGATTTCTTGTTTAATACTGTTTTGAGGTTGTATAATAATGCCACTAAAACTTATCTAACTAATGTAAACTATGCTGTTATATTAGAAATAGTGACTAAATTAACTGGAAGTTAATCACAATTAATAATTTATAGCTAAACTAAGGCCATAAAAAGACCATTTAATCCCTGGATATATACACTAATTTTTCCATTGGTTTTCTAAACTCTCTAGTTTAATTACATACTAATTACTACTACTACATACTAGGATAATAGGACTACATACACATAACTATGATCATCTGACAGTTTGCTTAGCTTTATTTGCCATTCCTAATATGCATAGTTTATACCAGTCAGATGAAGTTTTTGTTGCATTATTATATATTAGGTTTTGTTTTGTTTTATATATATATTATATATTCTATAATAAAACATTTATATAAGCTGATCTATATAGATAGATGGTTAGCATTTCATAGACAGCATCAGTTTGTTAAGCTGAGGCTGTCTATGAAAAACATGCCATGGAAAAATATATCAGTCATTTCCATTCAGTATTAGTGCATTTTATTGATGCCATAAAGTTGCTTTGAAAACATTTTAAAAGCTTTTAATACTTAATTTTGATAATTAAGACATTATTTTATCTAATTAATAAAAATATATTAGATAAGATACTTTATTTTTAAATTTAGACTATTTTATTTTTATATAATAATATATATTTATAAATTAAAAATGCTTATTCATATTTTTGTATTTGTAATTTTTTTAATAGTGAAATTAACAGCTAATTACAAAAAAGCTATAGTAGAAATTATTCAGCTAGGACCAAATCCATCACAAGTTGATAATTCCAATCTCAGAAAGAATTGTTCAATAATAGTTTCTGAGGGCACAATACTGAATTTATTAAAAGGGGAATTTCCCTACATTGTTACATTTAAAAGACAGTTATCGGAATCAAAATTTCAACATTCTTCTGTTAATGGAACTGATATAATTGAGCAGAAACAAAATGTGCCAAAATTAAATGAAAAATCAAATGATCAAAAACTGATTAGTTCTGAAATAAAAGATGAAAAATTAAATCGAAAGAAGAGTATTGAAAATACAGAAAAGAAACAAACAAAGCTTGAATTTGGAGAAACTACAAATTTCAAAGATGATAAAACAAAATTAAAACGACATGGAGAACACAATGATGAAACAACTAATAAACATATCAAATTAGATACAGGTAAGATTTAAAAAATTAAAGAAAACTAATAATGATGATGATGTAATATTTAATATATAAATTTGGCAATTAATCCAGGATTATCTATTACATATAAATATATATGTGCATTTATTGACAAAAAAGTTATGCATTAAGAAGGAAGTGTTGGAATCAAATGAAACTTAATGACAATGGTAATAAATGATTACAATATCATAGCAAAGGAAAAATTTAGTGTTTTGTAGATTTTTGCCTAGTAACTTGCAATGATATGGTTAGGCATGGAGGCAACACAGGCTCTGTGTGCCATCTTGCAACAGATTTATCCATAGATGTTGCAACTGCTGCTTGAGTCATCTCAAGTGTGAGCGTCCCATCTAGTCCCATTAATGGTCATTGGGTGACAGATCTGAAGATCAAATAGGCTAAGGAAGTGTGGAAATATACTAGAGACATTCCTGAGAAACTAGTTGTGTGCAGCCTACTTAGTATTATCTTTCTGAAAAATGGCTGTTGTAGCCCTGCCATGAAAGGCAGAGCATGAGGTACAAGATTTCCTGAACTTTCATAAGAAACTACTCTCTGACCAATGAGTGCAGTGTTCTGCTCAATTGTAATGGCAAAATTAAAGTGCTCACCATTGGTTCTCTGTACTCTAACATGGTGGTAATCCATTCCCAAAAAGAACTGTATTTGTATCTAAAGATGATATGCTGCCTATTGATAACAGTCCATGTTTCTTTGTTACAGTACTATTACTATGAAGTCATCAGTGTTAGGGTGCTAATGGCAGATTTATAGCAGTCACCATGGCATGCTAATTTGCCTCTGCTAGAAATTTGCTTTCAATGGTATGAGAAGAGACAGAGTTCTGTAGCAAGGATGTTGCTACAAATGTTTAAATAATTCATCAAATAAGACTTACAAAATTATGTCCTGATACTGTTTCATGTTTCCAAATCAAATTCATGCCTAAACAAAGGTGAGGATACAAAGTATATTAACTATAATATGACAAAAAATTTGTCAGTGAATTTAAATGAGTTTCAAAAATAAACAGCAGAATAAAGACAGATGTAAAGTAAAGCCTGGTGTCTATTGAGTGCACTTCATTATGTTATAAGGATAAAAAAGACTTTCAAAAATGTTTCACCAGCTCAGTGAACAAGTATAAAAATATTTAGCTTCTTAAGAAAATTACTTTTAACTATTAAAATTTTTTTATTCAAATATGTAGTTTTCTTTAAATTAATATAATCTTGGAACTTAATTGCCAAATCTTTTGCAATATATTTGCCAATGTTTAATTGCTTCTATTTATTTATTTATTTGTTCTTCTTGATATATCAAGAATCAATGATTATCAAATAATAAATATAATTAAAGATTTGGTTCTCTAGTTTTACAGAAATATGTGTGATAAAAGTTAGATTTATATTTTAGGACATGTATTTTCTTTAAGATTTATATTATTATTGTTTGGTCCATTGATACTGAAGTTGTTTGCAAGAAATCTCAAATTGAACTGCATCATTTGTAAATATTTTGTTTTATGCTATTATTGGAATTACAGTAGAGCATTGATTATCCAAAACAATTTGGGACTGGGGTTAGTTTCAGATAACTGATTTTTCAGATAATTGATCATTTACGGAAAAATATATTAAACACAAAACTGTACGGTATATATCTTATATCACATGTCTTACAATTACATACCTTACATAAAATAGTACATTAAAGTAGGCCTACAGTTTAGGTTGGCAGGGAAAGGGAAAGTCCTGCATCTCCATAGCACTAGAGGAAATTTGAATTTGCTGACTGGAATGCTTTTGGTTAACTGATGTTTCGGTTGATCGGTATTTGGATAATCGATGCTCTACTGTATAACTAACATATATGCTTTAAACCTAATTTTGAGACATGATTGACATTTTTTTGATATGCTTGACAAATTGCTGTTATATCATTTCAAATATTTCTATATTCATTTTGATTAGCATCAGTAAAATCAGGAATTTTCCATTCTTATATATAGATGTCCACTTAAACATCTATCAAGTGGCAAAAGAGATATTTCCAGCATAGATTAGGTGACTGCAGCAGACACAAATATATCAGATACAGTAGAGCCTTGAAAACTCGGCCTAATGTGGACCGAAGGGTGGCCAAGTTTGTGAAAATGAAATGCCGGGTTATCAGGAATGGGGTTAAAAAAGGATAAGTATGCATGTTTCCTCAGAAAATATTGTACTGTACTTGTATGTATTGTTCGCTTGAGAATACAACAGAGAATAAACTGCCCAAATACCCTTAAACAAAGGAAAAGTATGTCCTTTATGAAGGCATAGAGCCTTTACTACATGAAAATGAAAATTAATGAATACACTGTGTACAGTAATTTACCTGATAAGACAGACCTCAGAAAAGCATAAAGCTGTCTACAATGAAAATTATCTAGCCGACTTTGCAAAAACTGGCTACTTTTTTTTAAAAAAATGAGTAATGTCCTGTTGTCTTCCGCACTGCACTCTGCGTTTTGCTGCTTCATCACGAAGACGACGAAGGTACAGTAAGTCCATTACTGACACACCTTGTTGTTCAAAATACTGAAGGGCGGTTTTGACAGCCTTTAGTCTCTCACTATGTGATATTTTAGGAGCTTGTACAGTGGAGTCCTCAACGTCAACATCTTCATCATTTTCCGGCATTTTTTCATTGACTGTGACAGCAACAATAATTTCTGCATCGGACATAATGTTTTGGTCGGTATCGTTCTGGAACCACTGTTTGACGTCACTTTCGTCGGCTTCTGCACATCCAGGAACTCTTTTTCAGCAGGTCGAGTAAGTTTACATTTTTTGCATCATAATGTTCAACAAACTCATTTCCCTCTTTCCCTCGTGATCAAGGAGTTTTCGTCAGGAACTCCTTAGTGTTAATGACTCTAACTTGTTCCAGGCGTCTGCTACCCAGCCAACAACATCCAATAGGTTAACTTTCTTTAAGTTCTGGATAAGACCTTGATCATCATCGTTTGCAGAAAGAAGGGAGGATAACAGCTTGCACCTATATCTTCTCTTGAGACTAACCAAAACTCCTTGGTTCATTGGCTGGCATAACTCTGTGACATTGGGTGGTAAAAACATTGCTCGTATGTCCCCATTTTTTAACTCTTCAGTGTCTGGGTGTGAAGACGCGTTGTCCAAAATCAGAATAGCCTTCCTTAGCAGGTTTTTAGATTTTAAAAACTGCTCAACCGATGGAACAAATACTTCGTGAAACCATTCTTTGAAAATTGCACAGCTCATCCAGGCATGTGACTGGTTTCGGTACCAAACTGAAAGCTTACCCATTTCAATGTGCTTAAACACATGTGGTTTCTTTGATTTTCCTATGACACCAAGCTTTAATTTGTGCTCACCTGTTGCATTACTGCATGCTAGGATTGTTACCCTCTCCTTGTTTTTTCTAAAACCTGGGGCTGATTGTTCTTCCTTGAAAGCAAGACTTTTTGCTGGTAGCAGTTTATAATTTAACCCTGTTTCCTCACAATTGTACAATTGCTCTCCGGTCAAACCTTCAGCTTTGATAAATTTCTGAACGTTTTTTTTAAACTGAGACATACTCTTTGTGTGTCCAGATAGTTTTTCCCCACAAATACTAAGCTGCCGGACTCCATAGCGTTTCTTCCAGTGCTCAAGCCAGCCATTGCTTGCGACAAATTTAGGATCATTGTCTTTTTTAAATTCTTCGTAAAATTTCAAGGCTTTCTCTTGCAAGATTGGCCCACTAATTGGCGTGCCCTTCTCTCTTCTTTGGTGAAACCAAATGTAAAGTGCTTTACTTACCTCATTAAAGTCACTTTCCTTCATACTTTTCCTTTCTTTCAATGTTTCTGTACACATTCTGTTAACACGCCACGACTCGATTTCCGTCCACTTCTTCTTCCAGTCTCCAATCGTACTTTTGCTGACTCCCAAGTCCTTAGCCACTGCACTGACACTTTCTCCATTATCCAGTCTCTTTAATGCCCGCAACTTTTGCTCCATAGACATGTTCACTTGTTTTCTTTTAACGGAAGATGCCATCGCAGAGTACTGTTGTCGTGATGGAATCGTTTAGATGTATGGTTCCCGCGCTTTTCCTCTTTTTCAAACAAGCAATGGTTGTCGCCATAGAAATACGGATTGAGAAACAACCGTTAGTTTTGAAAACAGAATAAATGATTGGCTGTCGATCATCGGACAATCGCACGGACCTCCAATAGGACTACGAAGCGCTCATTGGTCAATCAGCGCTATCTTTATTCCATATAAAAAGATTAAGTTTAAACAGGAAAGTTAAGTTTGCCTAAGTTCATTTTTGCCCTGCTAAGGTGTGGCCGAGTTATCCGGAGTGCCGAGTTTTCGAGGCTCTACTGTATTACATTTCTGTGACATGTACCCATTCTGCTGCTATCTGCAACTAGCCATGCAGAGGATGTTGCACAGTGATTTGAGTGGTGCTACATGGTGGCAAATTTACAGCATGATGAACAACTCCTTCAGTACATTTTATGGGTTGACAAGTTAGTTTTCTCAAAATGGAGTAGGTAACTGTCACAATGTACACCAGTAGCCAGAGCATGCTCCATGATGCATGTGACATACACATCAAGTGCATTTTACCCTAAACATCTGATATGGAGTTTGGGGTGAACAGCTTCTTGGTTCCATAATCATTTGATGACACCCTGAATAGTGACCAATATCTGAACATCCTGAACACAATGGTGGATGAATGGCTTGATAACTTCCATTTGTGCAACTACAGCAGGTTTAGTACTAGCATGGTGTTACACTCTTTCCCAGAAAGATGTGTCAATAGCTCAAAGAGTGTTTTGCCAACTGCTGAATAGGATAACACGACCTAGTTTCATGGCCACCACATTCCCTAGACTTGACTGACCCCTCTGGATTTTTTCTTGTAGAGTCACCTAAAAGCATAGGTTTATGATACATACCCAGCAGCATAAAATGATATTGGTAAACTGGAGAGTTGCATATCATAGTCCTGTGAAACAGTAACACCAGGAATGCTACATGACATCCATAACACCATGCTGAACTGTCTAGATCTTTGTATTGCTATTGAAAACTATTGTTTTAAACTTGTTTTCTAACAAAATAAATCTCATATTTTGTATTAATTTCCCCAATGTTGTCTTTGTTCTTTACAATCAGAGATTATTTGTATGTTTTGCTAAATAATCTTAAATTGATTTCCTTTGGTTATTTTATTTCTGCAACAAGTGCACACCACATGCATACATTTGTGCAACGCTGGAAAGATCTCTTTTTGACCCTAGGTAGATGTTTTAAGTAGATGGCCTGTATCAGATACATTATACTGTAGACTTACTCATCTAGTTTCTTCTTTTCTAAAATGATTATTTCTGTTACTTTCCTTTAAAAAGATTGTATTTTTTAAAGTATCTTGTTATGGAGATGTACTGTACTGTACAATGAAAAGGTAGATTATATAATAAAAATAAAATTGCATTTTAGTCAGAGAAATTTAAATGCAAATTTTTTTTCTGTTGTTATATTTTTTGTATGAACTGATATTCATTTAAAACAACCAAAATAATTGAATAACTGATACTTTAGAAATAGTTTTAAAATATTTTTAATACAGTAGTAAAATTGAAAACATTTTTTTAAAATTTATAATCTTAATATAATAATAAATATAAAAAAGTTATTTTTTGATTTTTGACCTTTATTCATTAAGATGAAAACAATAGTGATACTGAAAAAGAACAACAAGATTTAAAAAGAATAGAAGAGAATCTTCGTTTAATGCAACAACAATTTAGTATTGAAACAATGAACAAAATGCCTAAAACAAATGAAAATATCAACAAAACAATTAATACTATTAATATATGGGAAGAAGAAGATGATGGCAAATTATTTGTATACACTCATGAAAAAGTTGAAGCTAAAAGCAAGGTAAGGTTTCATAAATTTTATATCATATAAAAAGAATAAATTAATTAAAACTCTCTGTGTATAAATTTAGGAATTGTGAAGTTATAATATACATAATTATCTACTTAATAATTCTTATAAATAAATATTATACAGTAAAATTTCTCTAACTCGAAGCTCCAAGGGGCATGAAGAACTTCAAGTTACAGACAATTCAAGCTAGAGAACAATAGAGTAAAAATGCCAATTCTGAATAGATTTGTATTTTTACCTCTCTTGTATTATATAGTCTTTGATAGTATTTTTTTGCTTTAAACAACCCATGTAATGCCTTTCAGCAAAATGTTCAATTTAACTAATGGAATCAAACAGTTTTGCAGATACATCTTGTTGAGATAAAACAAGAGCACCTCTTGCTTTTGACTGGAATGTTGTCTGAAAATTGGTGTTGGAGAGTAGATACAACTAACTGTCTGAAAATTTTGTGGAAATCTTATAATTAAGATCACTTTGGATAGAATAAATATTAAAATTTGAGTCAGGGAAGTTGAAACATAGCATAAATCAGTGTTGGGACCATGAGAAACTTTGATGGAGACATTAAATTTCTATGCTATTCCATTGAGACCTACCAAGTGCTTCATTTTCTTTGAGTTAAAGAAATCTTCAAGTTACAGACATTTGAGTTTGAGAAGTTTTACTGTATCATGCATGTAATTTTTTCTTGATAATTTTGATTATTATTGTAAATATGTGAATCTGTTGGGTGATTAAATGAAAAATTTATTTGTGAGAAGTAGATTTAGTAAAACCACAAGTTTTTTTACTTAATACTGCCCTGTTATGCATTGAGAGAAATGCAAATCTTGAATACTTAAAACAAACTTAAGGAATAACATTTGAAACTTCTTGTTAGCATTACCAAATCTATTCCTCTTAGCTAATTTTTTCTTTGATCACACTGTAGAAAAGAAAATTTTAAAATTTTTATTGAATTACTCTGTAAATAGTATTTTATTTTTTTAATTGATGCATAGAATATGTGGAAATTTCATTATCATCTATTTACTTTAGTTAAGATTTCTTACAAATTAAATTAGAACTGAATTAAAAGATGAAATTAGTACTATTTATGAGATGGAAATTACTTTATTATATATTGTAAAGAATTTGACATCTGATTGCAAATCTTTGATCTTTTGTAGGAAGTTACAAAAGATCAAAGATTTGCAATCAGATGTCAAATTCTTTTGTAGGAAGTTACTTCCTACAAAAGAATTTGTAGGAAGTAACTTCCTACAAAAAATCTTTGATCTTTTGTAGGAAGTTACAAAAGATCAAAGATTTGCAATCAGATGTCAAATTCTTTACAATATATAATAAAGTAATTTCCATCTCATAAATAGTACTAATTTCATCTTTTAATTAGTTCTAATTTAATTTGTAAGAAATCTTAACTAAAGTAAATAGATGATAATGAAATTTCCACATATTCTATGCATCAATTAAAAAAATAAAATACTATTTACAGAGTAATTCAATAAAAATTTTAAAATTTTCTTTTCTACAGTGTGATCAAAGAAAAAATTAGCTAAGAGGAATAGATTTGGTAATGCTAACAAGAAGTTTCAAATGTTATTCCTTAAGTTTGTTAAGTTTTGTAACTTCCTACAAAAGATCCTACAAAGATTCCTACAAATAACCATTGCTTATGTATTTTAAAAACAGTTTGAAATCAAATAATGCAATGATGTGAGTTGTCTAACAATTCTAAGTAATAATTACAAACTGATAATTATAGTCAGAATATACAATATTGAAATATGCTTTTAGAAATTATGGATAATAATTTTAAAGTAAATAAAAAATTAAAATACATGTATATTTTTATATAATGTTTCTTATATTAATTATTAAATTAAATGTATGTTATACTTTAAAGATATTGATTATTTACTGATATAAGTAAAGGACAGAATTATTTATTACAACTTTCAAAATTTTCAGATTGCAGCATTTGATTTAGATCATACAATAATCACAACAAAAAGTGGTCGTGTATTTCCTGTAGATACTCATGATTGGCGGTAGGATTTAAATTTTATTTATATCCCACTTTAGTTATATTCCAGTTTGTTAATTAATGTTTAACTTGCACAGAAAAATTTCTATTTTAATAGAATTGTAACTTTTAATATTTTTAAAATAGAAACAAGCAATTATTTATTGTGACATTGTCATAATGCTGGGCTGCAATTTTTAATAATATTTTAATTTAAAATACATGCTTTCCACCTCAAATTCAAAATAGTGTCTTACTCCTGTATATCATACTTTTCCATTAGCAATAGCATTCTTGAAATTAAGGAACAACAGATATACGATGATGAGAATTTATGTCTACAATTTTTTCAAATTGCAGCCTAATTATTACTTTTTTATAATTACAGTAATATGTAAATAATTAAAAATAGTTATATTTTTAAAATAACATTTTAAAAATATAACTGTTTTTTACAATAAAATATTTTTTTAAATATAGTTGTAAAAAATATTTGTTTTTATTGTTTTATTGTTTATATTTTGAAATAATTATTGTAGATTAGGAAGATCAACAAGTTTAGGTGGTAAGTCAATTCCTTCTCTGTATCTTAAATGGTACAGAGGAAGAATTTGTATGGCATGCATAATATCTCATTGTTTTATTTATCCATTTTTACTGTAAATATTCGCTAATAATAATAAATTGTAGGGGGAAAATATTTTATTGTTTTTACTCCTCAGTGATAATAATATCAAAATACAGACAATCTTTGACTTTTGGATGGAATGTGAAATTCCTGAAAATGTGTAAGTCATATGGTAGAGTTGTACTCTATAAAGAGAATTTTGTTCCTCAAGAGTTAAAGAGAAAATCTATAACATCTCTTATCAAGATAGAGAAGTTTAAATTTTTTATAGTGAATGCTTAAAACAATATTTAAAATATCAAAATCATAGATTAAGCAGACAATAAAAACTAATGTTCATAAATGATTTATTGTTACCAAAATTGCTATTGAGAAGAGCACATTGTACTATTCCTTGAAAATTTTGTTAGTTGACACTAATATAAATGAAAATATTGGTGAATTTGTCATACAAAGAGCAATTTATGAGTATAAAAGTGGAGGAAAAAAGAATGTACAAAAGAACAAGTTGTCTAAAAGTCAAGCAAGAACTTCAGTGAAGTGACATTAAAATCCAAATCAATCACAAGCTTAATTCATTGTTATTTTGTCTCTTACCACTTTTTTAATGAAATCTTCCTGATTTAAATATTCATAATTTATTGTAAGATATTTAAAATGCAAAATCTTTTCTGTTAATATTTTTTGTTATATACATATATATTTTAGGTTATTTGTGATCATTTTATTAATGACTTTTTTTCATTTATTAATCATTAAAAAGTATGAGATGTTATGTTTAGTTTAGATATTAAAGATTAATTATGAACTTTAGTTTAAATACTGTTTAAATATTAAAATACTGTCAAATAGTTTCTATTGAAATGCTACTTAATTTTATTTACTTAAATTATTATTCTAGAATTATGTATACTGAAATTCCTGCAAAATTAAAAAAGTTACAAGAAGAAGGGAATAAAATAGTTATTTTTACTAATCAGGTAAGTGTCATTTAATCTTAATTTAATTAAGACAATTAAGACATTTTTCATATTTTTATAATTATTAAGTTGTTTAAATTTAAATAATTCTTAAGCATCTAAATCAAAATATATTAATTTAAAATTCTTTCCCAAATATCAATTTATTTTTGACATACTATAATGTTAATATAAGATATGTCCCAAAAGTTTATGTAAAATGGTTTTTTAAATAACTTATTTTCATTTAAAATCTCAACATTCTATTTATTAAAATCATATAATAAAACATTATTTTACAATTTATAAAAAAAATTATTCTTATAATGTTACAAAATATAAAATAATTTAAAATTTTATAAAAATTCAAGGAAAAAGTTGTCTGAAAAGTTTAGATTATCTTAATTTTTTATAACAGTTCATAGATGGGCTACAGCATGTTCTGTCATGTTTACTAATGCTTTATAATCTCTGTTCTGTAATATGTGCTATAGTTTTTCCGAGTGCACAAACATAAATATTACCAAAAGCAAAAAAATATTCTAAAAAAGTGATCAAAATATGGAAATTAGAAACAAGTGGACTTGATACAAATGATATTACAATTATCTTAGACTGATTAGCATCAGGAATTTACAGTTTTAAATAGAGATGAAAATTTACCACCAGCAACTCGGACATCAAAAGCAACAATTCCAGCAGATGATTGACACATTTTGAGGTTAGCCTCATCTCAAAATTTTAAAGGAATCAGGATACAATGTGTTATAAAATACAGTTTATCAACAAATTAAAGCAAGCCTAAATATTGTGTTAGCCTGGATGAAATGCAAACCTCAGCTAAAAGCTGAATATCTCCAAAAGAGATAGAGATTGGAATAGGCTAAAAACCATATGCATTGGAAGGATTATTTTCAGATAAAAAAAAAACTTAGATGGCCCAGATGATTGAAATTATCACTGGAGATTTAAGAAAGGAGCAAAAAACTTTCTTCAGTCTTCAGCAAGGTAATGGTTCTGTGATGGTCTAGGCAGCCTTCAAATTTAATAGCACCACAAATTTAGCTTTTATGACAGGTCATCAGAAGTCACAAGACTATTAAAAACTTATCTTAAAAAAGTATCTTCTGCCTGTTGCTGAATCATTATGAGGATTACAATGGATATATCAACAGGATAATGCTCCTACACATTAGTCAAAATCAATGAAGGATTGGCTGAAATCTAAAAAAACTCATATTGTGAAATGGCCATCAAGAAGTCCTAACCTCAATCCAATAGAAAATTTATGGGGAATAATGAGCAGATAGGTTCATATAGAAGGGCAGTTTTGAAACAGTTAGTGAATTAAAAGAAGCTATATATATAATAATTACTTTAATTTAGAACCATAAGTCAAAAAATTTAATTGCAACAATGACAAATTGTAATTTTGAAGTAATTAAAGCAGATGGAAATACAATTAAATGTTGAAAAGTATTAGTTTTAACATTTACCTGAACTTTTGGGTAGCTGTTTTCTTCAATTTTTATAACATTTTAATTTATTTAATATTCTGTAATATTATATGAATAATTTTTATTATACATTTCCATAACCAGATGAAAGTTGCTAAAAGTGATAAAAATTGTTCATTTTTTCCAATAAACTTACCTGCTGGAATAAGATAGAAGATGTTTGTGAATTATCAAATTATAAATTATAAAAGATTTGTATCTAAGTAATTACACTATCTAATAAAGCAAAAACATTGTTCAGTTTATAAACTTGTTTTATCACTTTCGTTTTTATAAAATAATAAATTTTGTATTGAAATGAAATTTTCAAATATTTTGCTTTGCTGTAAGGACAAAAAGTGTTTATTACATAATATTATCTCAATAACTTAATACAATTTTACACACACAATTTTATTTAAATTTGTTCACAGTTTTAAAGGTATGTAATCATAATAAAAACATCAATGAATCAGTTTGCTGTTTTTTCTATCTTCTATCATTTATTCTTTTTTCATTTTACAGTATTAAGAGGTGTTAAATTCTATTTGAAATTTTAATAAAGCAATGTTATAATCAAGAAGTTTCAGGAAAGACTTTAGGGGAATTTTTAATTTTAATTTGTATTATAAAATAGACAACATATAAAAGCTTTAATAATTACTTAAAATTAACTTACATAAAAAAAAATTTTTTTTTAAATTGAAAAATAATTATTAAAATAAAAATATATAGTTTGAAAGAAATAATGATCATGTAAGTAATAAAAGTCTTAGAGAGTGATAATTCCTATCACCTTTGTTATAGAACCATCTCTGCTCATAATTTAAAATGTATGCTTACAAAATTCAATATATTTTATAACAATAATGAGAAATTCTGTGCTAATATATTAATAAGAGTATAAGATGAAAATTTTTTCATTTTTTTTTAATTTTTTGCAAATTATGAATTTATTTTATATAATTTTATTGTAGAGAAATATATCAAAAGGAAATACTGATCCTTCAGATTTTAGAAAGAAAATTGAATATGTTACTAAAAAATTGGGTATTCCTTTACAAGTATTTATTTCTACAAGTCCAGGTATTTACAGAAAACCAGCTCCAGGTATGTGGGATATCTTAGTGAAAAAATATAACCAGAATATACCTGTAGACTTGTCTTCTTCAATTTATGTTGGAGGTAATTACATTTCTATTTATTAAATTCAGAAATTTATTTTATAATATATAATATCCAATATTTATATTCAAATACATCTTAAATCTTTAATCAGAAACTTGAAAGAATTATATAATTAGAAATTTAAGTTATTTTAATGTAAATATAAAATTGTATTACTTTAAAAACAAGATTTTTAAAAAGTTTTTATGGAATCTAATAATTTCTAGAGAATTTTAAACTTAAAAATGAACACATTTTTAGCTTTCAGTTTGAGATGATAAATCACGATGCATTATTTTTAAATACTATTTATCATCACTTATTTTGTATTATATGCATAATAGTAAAGCAGATTATAGATAATAAATATCTTTTAAAATATATCAACTTATAATATTTTATTTTTATACAATAATATTATGTGAAGAACTGAAATTATAAATATTACAGAAAATTAGATATTTAGAATGATGATTGCCTCAAAAATTAATGTCTTAATAGGAAATGCTAGTCTTGTTTTATGTGGGACAATCCCATATAAAATGAAAATGGTGAATCGTTAGGTACCACTTCTAGTATCACTGAATCTTAAGGCAGCAAACCAAGCTTCTCCAGCTTTTGACATTTTGAATATGGAGAACCACTGAGTGCTATTCAATGTGATGAACACACTGGTTTTCATGTATTATTCTCAAATAGTGTATTCAGTACAGTATAATAAAATTTTGCTCTTTACATTTGAAAATATTAGACTAAAATGCTGTTATTCATTCTAGTAAAGTAAAACATTTTAAATATATTTTAACATTTTTTTGTAAATGGTTGCATAAGTGTCTAGGTAATCATCTGGGACTGTGTGGAATGGAGCACAAATTTGCAGAGTGCATTTTAAATGGTACCTGCTCACACAATTTCCACATAAAACAAGACCATAACATAGTTTATGCTTAACTGCATTTTTATATATACCATATTTTCTCAATTCTAATGCATACACAATTCTCAAGATGTCAAAACCCAAAAAAAGTTAGCTTGCAAATATAATGCAAACCCTATATCATCAAGCACACAGTCATGGGAAGTTAATGTATTCAAACAGTAATAAATACATTTTTGAAAAACATTTTATTGCCATATTTACAGTGTTTCATGATGTTCATCAAATATATTAATTTATGATTCCATTAGCAGGTTCAGAGAATCTGCAGACTAACACAAAATTACAGTCAAAATTACTATGTGATCAACATTTTGACAGTAAGATTTCACATCAGTATGCACAAGCATGAAATTTTCCAGATACCTATACAGATATTTCAATGTGATACTACTGTATGTGTTTTTCAGCATAGTGGATAACTCTTTGATAAAACTTAGCTTCATAATTGAACATCTTTTAAACTGTAGAAAGCTAAGTGAATACTGTCCAGCATTCGCTTAGCTTTCTACAGTTTAAAAGATTTATCAAACCATTCTAAAATTAAAACCAAAGTAATGGGAGAGACTTGTACCACTTCTTTACTGACAACAATAATACAAATTGTCACATCAATTGAGGAGCAAATGATGCAAAGGAGATTGCATTAAGCTTTGTGCCCAATTCTAATGTATGTACACTTTAATTTTGGAAACCAGCAAAGTTAAAAAAGGTGTTTAATAATGAAATAGTTAATATTTGGCTGTTCAAAATTAGATTAAGTGGCCATTGATCAATCATGACTTTATTTGATTTTCTGTTATTGGAATTGGTATCATTAATTTGATAAATGTTCTTTTTTTTTAATCTATATTGTTTAAAAATTGTTTTCAATAACTTCTAGACAATATAGATTGTTATATACTATATAAAAAATTTAGAAAATTGGAATGTCTTTAATTATCTTATTGTTTTAATTAATATTAGATGCAGCTGGACGAATTGCAAATTGGAAGCCACAAAAGAAAAAAGATTTCTCATGCAGTGATCGTTTAGTTAGTATTATCTCACAAAATACATAAATATATTTGTTTGTTTTAGATAAATTATTTATATGATTTGTATTTTAATTTTAGTTTGCATTCAATATACAAGTACAGTTTTATACTCCAGAAGAATTTTTCCTTAATTATGATAAAGTGGAATTTAAAATGCCACTTTTTGATCCTGTAAGTAATTTGCACTTTCATCTCTTAAATACTATGTAATTAGCATATTTTATTACAATAATATGATTGATGATTTGTTGTTATTTCTTTTTTCATATGTCAGTATGAAATACGTTCAATGTTTCTAGTTATGATATTATATATGATGTCTGGAAAGTTACTGTGCAGTGAGAAATTTGTAATGACATTACAGTTATATTGTACATTATTGCATACAAGACTTGTAAATTGTATGTTCCATATTTCCACTTTTGTGATAGATGGTATTTACTGCTTGTTTACAAATGTTCTGGATTTTGGAAGACTTCTGTGCTTATTGCATTATTTCCCATGGAATCTGGTCTGCTAGGTCTCCTGATATTACTTTCCAGTACTTCATTTGAATAGGAAATGACTACATAGATTGCTATGATACCTTTGCTAAGTAAGGTTTTGTCAAGAAGAACTCATCACACTTTTAAGATCATTTTATGGTCAATGGAGGCATTTTCATAAAAAATATTTGAGACAAAATTATCTTATTTTTTGCATTTAATCTGAATCTAAATGAAAAAATAGCATTTCCCATTTATAAAATTTGACTTCTGGTCTGGATAGCCCATTTCTGGAAGTTGAAGATATCACCATTCAGTTTAACATATCTCATTTATTTTTCATAATTTTGGGGATTTTTGATGAAAATCACTTCCCTTCATTTTAAAAAGAGTTTCATTTATATAAAAAGTGTCACAGACCATTCTGTATATAAAAAAAGAAAAACCTTTCAAGAAACAACAAATATATATTTAACACTATTATTAATATATATATATTAATAATAGTGTTTTTATATGTAAGATGAGAAGAAAACAAAATCCATTAATTGATAGAAATTAAAATCTCTCATATAATGTTACATGAGTGGTGTATTCCAATAATAATTCACATAATCTATAACAATGATGATTGTTTTATCTATAAATATAAAACTGTTTCTTTAAAAATTAAATTTTACCAGATAGATTTATTAGATAGATATAAAATAATTTTTTCTAATTTTTTTTATATTTTTCAAAATAATATTTTTAATCAATGATAAATAAATATATCTGAAAAGACAGAAAATTTGTTAAAATGAATCAATCAAATNTATCTTCATAACTATAATAAATTATATAATAATAATTATAATAAATTAATAAAAAAAGTATATGACGATAATACTCTCTGTTTACATTTCTGAATGATTTATAAGATTCTATATTACTGAATGAATCTTGAAAATACAATTCAAAAACCTAAATTCATTGAGAGTGAAAACTTTGAGAAATTAGTTCTATTATGTCAGCTAGTAGGAATACTGACCCTGCTATTGATAAAACATAAAGACTACTGATGTTTATTAAAAATTTACTGATCAGGTTCAACAGCTGTATAAGCAAGTACAAGTGAGCCATTTAAGATCATTTTGAACAACTTTATTTTTTTTATTATTGAAGAACTTTATTTTATTTTAACATGTACTTTAAATATACTTAGATCTTGGAACTTGATTGCAATATTATAAATTTAAATTTTAGTATTTCTTGATAGTAAAGTAATTTTAGTAAATTTAAGTAGTATGTAAATGTATTATTATTATAATTATTATTATTTATATGAATAATGCAGTTACTTATTAAAAATATGTTACTATTAAGAGATTCCTCCCTAATGGACCATTGGCAGAAGTTATACAATCAGCAGAAGATTCTGAAAGTTATCCATTACCCCTTGATGAAGATAGTATTATATCTCCTACTCCTGAGGTAATTAATTATTTTGTATGACAAAAATGGCAAACTTGATGTTTTTTTAAAGTTGATTAGATAGTTAAAAGGATACAGTAAGACCACGCTTAATGCAGGGATGCATTCCTAGACGGCAAAGCGCTAAATGAAACAGCATTAAACGAGGTCATTTTAACATAGAATAAATAGGTATAGGGGAACATGTGACCAAAAATTTAAAAATTTTACTTTAATTTTAAGTTATTTTTATGTTAATTTGTATAATAATATAATAATTAGTTCATTTTTTCCTGACTTTTCTGAAATTCTTGTTTTTTGCAATAAAGTTGCAAAAAACAAGAATTTCATTTGTCTTTTTTTTCTTTCCTTAAGCAAATGTCAGTAGCAGAAGATCGCATCCAAAATGCCTCATTTTGCTTATGCACTCCTTTCAAAATCTGGATCATTCACTACAATTTGAGCAATGATTTTAGTTATTGTTATCAAACTTTTACTAAGGAAATCTATAGAGAAATTTTTTGGGTTCTTTGTTTTCAGAATCACTATTTTCCAGTTCTATATGGATTCCTTGTTCTGCTACTTCTCGAAGGTCATCGTTGATAAGACACTCACCAGAAACCTGCAGTAACTCCTCAATATCCTGTTCGTCTACATCTCCTGCCCTGTTATATCGATTAGGATGAGTTTGATCAACCTAATAATACAGCAATAGACTCTTCTTGTTGAGAATTCTTGGATACCTTCAGCCATAACTTCTTTCACACTTTGTTCATGCATTTATCAGTTAATTCTTGCCAAGAGAAGCTGATATTGCCTATGGCATCCATGATGTTATATTTTTTCCAAAATTGCACCAAACAAACATAGATTTTAAAAAAGTTTACCTTTTTCTGATTGATTCATGTTTGTAAATAATCGTATTATGTATGAATCAGTAAAATTCTGTGATTATTTAAATCAGTGTAAATTTTGAGCATTGTTTTAGGCTTTAAGCAGACGGCATTGTATCAAATCAGCATTAAATGGGGTCTTACTGTATTTCCTTTTAAAGCTTTTGTGACAATGCATAAGGGCCTCCCTATTCTTCGGCACCACGTGACCAAAGGGTCGACATCGCGTCAGTGAAGATCGCAATGACAAGTTTCATCAGGACTGACACCACTGTGTCTTCACGGCTAGACACAGAAACTGTTTTGTTCGGGTGTGAGCGATCAGAGTCGAGATAGAAGGAGAGACAGCGCACCGGAAGTGACTTACTCAGAGACATTTTAACGTAACAACTGTTTAATGGTTAACGATAAGCTATACATTCGGGCTGCTGTTAGATACATTTCTACGATAGGGATTAGATATTAGAATATTCCATTTTGGGTTTTCCGATAAGAGAGAGAGTTTACATAAGTTGCGCATGTCGATAAATACCTTTTGTTTTTGCTGTCTTGATTGAGATTCTCGAGCATTCTGGGTGAAGGAAAGAAAGTTCGGGATGTCAGTTCTTGTATCCAGTAGAGGAAGTATCCATAAGAATGATAGAACGTAAAGTATCTGCAAAGGTGTTCGATGATGTTACGATGGGTTTCGATGATATTTTAGTAGGATATAACACGTAGAATAAAATGATATATTCACAGATATCTGAATATGGAGACACTTAGGACAAAAATACAAGTGACAACTTTTCGTTCGAAAGACGGGCGACGACTGCTCACTTTGTTGTTCTTGTCCAATGTTAAACTGTTAAAATCGCGATACTAGGTCGAAAGGTGATGAGAAAGCATTGTTATTAAGTCTGAGAACTTAGCAGATGTTTAACTCCCAGGTGTAAAAGTTGACAGTTATTGAATGAAAGTGTAGCTACAATGTGAAATGATATAAACACATCCTAATTTGGATCCTCACACTTTTTTTCCTTTCATTTTTAGACGTTTTCAGTTATAAATAATTTTAAAAAAATGAAAATATCAGTTTTCTGGACTATCATTTTTATTTATAAATTAATTTAATGGAAATCTTATTTTCATATAAAATGTAAATTGACTATTTAAAATTTTTATGTCTTCATTCAATGAATAAAGATTATGATATTTATTTTGACAGTATTTGTTACAAATAGTGAAATTTGCAGATTACAGAATAACTAAACAAGATTGAATTTATAAGCTCTATGTCAGCTTTTCTTTTTTGCTAGACATATTAAACCATCATTCAGAAACATGACCAGCCTGTTAGAAAATCACATTTATTTCCAAGAGAATGCATTTCAGACATCGAGTCCCTCATCAACTCTCTATGATGTAAATGGATATGAAAAGTACAGAAATGGCGATGATTGATAAAATACAGATGACAAATTATTAGTTTACAGGTTTAATACTACCTTATGTATCATACCATCATGTCTAATCAAATACCTATATACTAAAAATACAGATGACAATTATTAGTTTACAGGTAATTAATCTGTAAACTAATAATTGTCATCTGTATTTTATCAATCTTTTCCATTTCTGTACTTTTCATATCCATTTACATCATAGAGAGTTGATGAGGGACTCGATGCCTGAAATGCATTCTCTTGGAAATAAAATGATTTTCTAAGGCTGGTCATGTTTTCTGAATGATGGTTTAATACGTCTAGTGAAAAAGAAAAGCCGACTTAGAGCTTATAAATTTAATCCAAGACTAGACAAGAAGCATATTATAGTAAACAAGATTGCTTATTTACTGATATTATTTTTTAATTTAAATTTATCATAACTGCAAAACTCCAAAATTTAGTGTTATCAAATTTAAATATACTTTTATAAAAAGTTCATTTAATATACTACTGATGGTTTATTTTAATTTCAGTATCATTATAATATGATGGAATTATATGAACTACACAGGAAATAGTTTTATTTATACTTTACATTGATTTTACATATTTTTCTATTTTAGTTGCTGATACTTGTTGGCTTTCCAGCAGGTAATTTTTTTAATTATCTTCAGAATAATATATTCTTATAAAATTAATATTACAAAATTACTTGTTTTATTATCATAGCTGGCAAAAGTCATTTTGCAGGAAAATATCTTCTTCCTAAAGGTTATGTTCATATTAACAGGGTAAGAAATTTTCTCTTTTAAATTTTTTATGATTTCATGGCCAAATGACTTGACTATGGTGGTAAAAGTGCCAGTCTACTACCCCAGACTGGAATCCAAATCAGAAACTCTGAAATTTTCTTGAATAGTTTGATTTGGATATGTTAGGCCTCATTCTTCATCATCCAGTCCTCTCTATCCACGATAGACATGGTACCTGCTCACATGACACTTAGTGTGTAGATGGAAGTAATTAAACTTTGTTTTGAATGTTTTATATACATGCATATCTACGTATATTGAACATTTTGCAGGATACTTTAGGGAGTTGGAAAAAATGTATTCATGAATGTGAAACATCTGTTCAGAAAGGATTAAATGTTGTTATTGATAATACAAATCCTGATAAAGAAAGTAGAAAAAGGTACTTATATATTTGCTTTTTATGTATGCAATTCACTAAAGAACATAATATGGGTTTTTTTAAATAGATATATTGACATTGCTTTGAAATACAAGAAACCATGTCGCTGCTTTTTATTTCATTGTTCCTTAGAACAATCAAAACATAATAATATGGTTTGTAAATATTTTTCAGCTTGATTATTACCTAATTTCAAAATAAAAATATATTTTTTTGTTCTCAAAACATTTTATTTCAGTTTAGATTAATAACTTCAAAAGATAAAAGTCATGTTGGTGTAAATGACATGGTTCTCAATTCTTATAAGTAAGTTGCACATTATTTTTAATATATTTAATAATCTGAATTACTTACTAATAAAATTTTTTTTAGTTTAAAATATGAACGTCCTGAATTATCTGAAGGTTTCAACCAAATTGTGAGAGTAAATTTTAAACCAGATTTCAAATGTAAAGAAGAGGAGAGGCTATATAAAATGTTCTTAATAGATAAATAATTTATTTATAATTTCTTTAAAATTACTATGCAAATATTATAAAATTGCACATCTATTTATTGTTATATCACAGTCACTCTTATCATGATTTGAAAAATTGTTTCAATAAATTAAATAATTGCTTCAAATGTTAATAAACAGCATCATTGTTTCAATTGTGTAAGGAAATGCTTTGATTACATTTATTGTTAATTTTTACTACTGTTTGATTTTTAAAATTGCCATAAAATTATCACTTATCCAAATAATTAATTTAAATATAATAGATTTTAAATTAAATGTAATTAGAATATTCTAAAAGAAAAGATCAACCTGAAATGGAAGTAAAATTTACAGCTGCTTATCATGTAGATGTATTATTAGTCATTCTACCTAGACATTGGTTGATCTTCACTTCCAAACCAATTAATTTAGTCTACAGTGGATAGAGGTTCAGTAATTGGTAATGCATATGCACAGTAAGCAGAAGTTGTAAGTTTGAGTCCTATTCTTAACTGATCTTTTTTTCCAGAATGTTATAAATTATTAAATTTAATTCAAAATGTAATATATTTTGAAAGTATCTACCTAGGAATCCAAAGGAAATACACTAATGCCTATCATTAATACTGTACATTATTAACTTCTATATTATATACTCAAACTTCTATATTAATTAATTGAATTAATATAGAAGTTTGGGTTTGGTTATTTATATATNAATGATTTTCAGCTATTATAAAAATTAATAGTACAATTTATTTTATTTCAATTGGGGATGATCAAATGGAAAGAATTTATAAAATTCGTTGTGAGTTTTTCAATGTTCACTTAAACTTGACAATGCCATGAACCAGCAGTGCAACAAACACAGCATCGCCAAGCTTGCTACACTACTAATCACTTCTATCTTCATTTGATCATCTAGTATAATATAATAATATAAAACTGTTAGTCATTCAATGCTATGTAATGGATGCTTTATTACAATAGAGAAAAAATAAATTATCTAACTAATTAATTAATAAAAAATATACACACCAAAAACAATATATAAGATGTTGCATTACAATTTTGCCTCAATAATTCAAGTTTTTTTAAAGTATTTTCATGGGTAAAATAGTTAAATATAAAAAAAAAATTGGGCACTTTTTCTGCAATTATTACAATAAAGTTTAGATGAAACAAAATCAGATGATTCACCTATTGGGAATTCAATAGAATAAGAATAGAGGAATGCCAGACTTATTAAAAGAACTTTATGGTATCTCTATCAATAACAAGAGATATATTTGTAAAATTACCGACTAGAAAGATGTTGATAAAACTTCAAAGTTTTTAAATCAAAAATTTGATATTTTTGACTTGTGACAATCAGTTTGATTTTATGCTATATTGATCAAAAGTGAAAATTATTTTGTGATGTAGTAATTACTATTTGCTTATCAATTTATACTACATTCAATCCCTCCATTAATGTAAGTGGTGTGATGAAATTTAATTTTAGTAGTCTTTCTCCATGTCTTTTGTCTGAGAAAAATATATGCTCCTATAAGCTTCCCAGCTGGCAAAATAGTTGTTATAAAATCATCTGTAGAATTTAAATTTGTAAACGACACAGTAAAACAAGATTCTACTGTAAGATATTGCAGAATAATGATTTTTTCCCAGCTCCCACCAAATTAATGTATAGGTAAACCCCGTATAACAGAGGAGTTACGTTCCAAAAAATTGCTGTGTTATATGAAACAAAGAACTAGTGTGAAAAGGGGTTTAGGTTCCAAAAATTAAAAAAAATGCTGTTAAATCCTTATTTAAATCAAATTTATTATTCATTTTTTCATAGGTAAAATACTTATTTATTATTTAAGTAAATATTTTACCAGAGGATTATTCATCCTATATGATGATCTCAGCATGAGCATCGTCAACTGGTAACAGTTTTTTGATGTGTTTGTTAATAGCNCATAGGTAAAATACTTATTTATTATTTAAGTAAATATTTTACCAGAGGATTATTCATCCTATATGATGATCTCAGCATGAGCATCGTCAACTGGTAACAGTTTTTTGATGTGTTTGTTAATAGCAGTCGCTCTGCAATGCGAGTGAACTGCTGTTTGTAGGTGAAAGAAAGATGGCAGCTCCCATACTATTAATAGTATCGTGATGGAGAAATTTATAATTCTAAAATGAGCTTTTAGAGGCAAAAGAAGGGTCCCAATTGTAAAATTTAACCATTAAATGGATTATTTGTTGAAAGATCATTGAAAGTAGCCACAAAAATAATTAGAATGCTCGTGCAGAGTTACACTGAGGTATAAAAGAACGCACCCTTTATTACATTTCATGTTGTACGAGGGTTTTACCCAATTCCTGAACCATGTTAGAATGAATCTGTACTATAGAAGTGCTGTGTTATACGGGGGTTACCTGTATTAATAATTTTATCTCCTTTTAGCAGATCTGTATACTCAGAATAGATGAGGCTAGAAAAAAAATCCATTATTGTAAACTTTAAATCATAAAATAAGAAATTCAACAATACAGTAAATTTGTCTAAAAATTTTTTGTGAAAATCACAAACTTTCAATTGCCCCTGCAGATGTGAAACATTGGTGTAATTATTGTGCACATTTTTAAAAATTATTATTAACAAACTTGATTAAATTCCAAAACTTGTTTCTAATATTAATTATTATATATACAGATAAGAACAAGTGTGAAAATCAAATTTTTTAAGCTGTTTCTTATGTTGATATTTATTAAATTAATAAGCAAGATAATTTTGATTTCTGAAAGTTTACTAAAATTAAATCAACACTTCTGTGAATGGAGTATGTATTTTGGATCAAATAGTCACACTTTTTAAAATTATTCTATGTAAAATCAAATAGTAACCGATTAACAAAAGTAAAATTAGTGTTTTTAACATTAATAAAGAAAACCATTCTATTATTTAAAAATACCACATATATTATTTAATACCTTTCATATATTTCTCTGACAACATTTATAAAATGTACATAAATACATCTGTAGTAACAATTATAATGAATTCTTTCTTCTTTGTTTTTAGACTAGGCAGTTTAAAATCATCTGAAAGAATTTCTCATAGAACTTAAAATATTTACATTAGTATGTAAGTACTATGTGGAATTAAAAGCTTCAAAATGCAAAATATTAATTTTTGAATGGCATGGCATTATAAAATTTGTGTGCAGGTGGTCCAATATAGACAATGTGTTAGAAATTGCGATTAAAATTTGGCCCTTTACAATAAGTACTATGTACGAATAACAAAAAATTTTTATAAAAAATAAATAACCAATAAGTATTTAAATTTCTTTTGCATGATAGTGAAATAAATAAATAAAAATTGTATAAATTGCAAATATATAGAATATAATTGCATTTGGAATTTTTAAACAAGATCCCAACCGTGAGCACTATGAAATTCTATGAGAATTTGGATAGTCTACTTTGCATCAATTCACATTCTCTCTATGCGGCTTCTGAGTTCTGACAGTTCTCTTGCAATTTCTTCAGGTAAATCACTACCTACTTGTTCACTAAAATATTTATGAATCTCACTTGCTTCTTGCATCCAAAAATCTTTTGGTAGATGAAAAAGTTCTTTTAAATCAACAGAATCTTTCAATCCTTCTAAATTCAAACTTTCTTCTTTTGGAATAAAGCCGATAGGTGTTTTCTAAAGAGATAATTTTAGAGAATAATTTAATTGATTTTACATAATAAAATTTTGTACTTTCTACATTAATCTTATATAACATGACTTTTCTTAATCTAAGAATGAGAGTTCAATTCTACTGAAATGGTTTTTTGGCGAGTTCCCATTTAAATTTCTATAAATAAAACTATACAATACAATAGAGCCTCGATTAACCAACCGTCCTAGTCGGCAAATTTCAAATGTCCGCTAGTGATGTGGCACTACAATATTTGGCTATGTCTTGGCTACTTTAATATTATTTTTACGTGTGTTAGCTGGCAACACTAATTCGACCATGAAAGGGAGCCAGTATTTAAATGAGGCTTAATTTTCTAATCTTTAACAATACAATAGCGATGATTATTACTTTAAAAAATTTTTGTTAGGCTTAACATCGATGAAAATTCAACACGAAGTAGGTTAATAGCAGTATACTAATATACTAATTACATGGGATATAATAATATACTACACTAATAATGGATTTTTTCATACTTTTTGGTTATCCGACTTTTCAATTATCCGACCAACCCCAGTCCCGAATTGGGTCAGATAATCGAGGCTCTACTGTACTGTTATTTAATCATCTGATACAATAAACTTTGTATGCTTCAGATTTTAATATCAATAGATAATGAAAGTCTAAACTGCAAAACACAAATATATAATAATAAACTTACTTGAGCAACATCCTTTCCATCTACTCTTTGGCAAATCCAATCTAGCACTCTAACATTATCTCCAAATCCAGGCCAAATAAATTTACCTTCTTCTGATTTTCTGAACCAATTCACGTGGAATATGTGAGGTAATTTTAAATTTGGCTTTTTCTCAAAATCTAGCCAGTGTTGTAAATAGTTACCAAAATTGTAACCAAAAAATGGCCTCATTGCAAATGGATCATGCATTATTACTTTGCCTAAATTAAAAATAAGAAATTATTTTTCTACAAAAATTATAGAATATTTTTTTACACAATACTAAATTATATCAAACCTTTATGTTCTGCTGCTGCTGTTGCTTCTGATCTCATTGCAGCTCCCATAAAAACACCATGTTTCCAATTTAATGCTTCATAAACTAGAGGAACACCTAAAATGATAATTGTTCAATTAACTATTTCAATACATGATAAAAAAATTTATGCCAAATATGACTGTAATTCACATTTTCTATTATTGATGATTTAATGGCTCAATCTATTATAATACCTGCACTCGGGTGCATTTATGTATACAGTATATTCATGTAAAAATATATATAGGGTGCACTATTATCAGCTACCTTTTTTAATTTGGAAACACTGCAATCCTAGAATGTGTAGATCAGCAATTAATGTACAATTAAAGCGATATGACTGTTAATTTACTTCACCATGTAGAGATAGCCTGTATAGCTACATCAGGGATCATGCTGCATAGAGCCAAAATTGCCACTTTGTGATTTTTTTTATCAAAGCAGTGATAAAATCCTAGTCCACCTGTTTTGACATTCAGTGTAAAATTGAATCACAATTCGGGAAAAACAGCAAAATCAGCAAAATGTCGAGCTTCCATACAATGGGAGTCCCATACACCATACATCTAGCAATTTCACATTGTCACATGGCAAGTTTGGGAAGAAAAGTAGGAAGTGACATCGAGAATCGAAAGCAGTTTTGTGCAATTCCACCTAATATTTCCAGATTGGGATTTTTTTTATCAATTGACAGAAATTTTGGATGACTTTTTCACTTTGATCTTTTTTTCAGTAGACTAAAACAAAAATTTTGACATGACAGAACCTGTGAAATACTGTAAGCATTGTGATCAAATTTGTTATTCAGAATTATTCATCAAAAAATTATTCCTATTGCTAGCAAGTGGAGGGTCACTAAGGTCAGGTCTCTGATTTGAACAGAACTCAGTGAGCACATAGCCCTAAACACAAACAGCTCATCATCCAAATAATAGGACCTCTGAAAATTTAGTGTTTAGCTTATAAGTCTTTGAAAATTTCATGTCCTAGAATGGTGATAGCTGGGTGAATAAGAACTTAAGTACTGGAGCTAGAGGAAGTAGGTTCAAACCTTCTGAGTTTTAGTTTTGGTTTAATTTAGTTAATTTTATGCATAACTTTATTATTTTACTAGATAATTTGCATTATTATTACTATTATTATTCCTCATGTTTAAAGCTTATAAAACAAGAGATTAAAAATTGTGACGTCATTTCCTGTTAAGCAAAAACAAGCCTCTGTATACATTTAACTCTTACGTCATTAAATAAAACTTTTATTTCTTCACATTTATTTTCACATATTTTATATACTATGTCCTACAAGCAAATAAGCTTCAGACATTACTGCACATGGACGAAAAAGACAAGTGATATGAAAATATGGTAGCAAGTAGCAGTGTTTTATTTTTTAATTGTTAGTATTATGGACAATTTCCTTGTGCACTCATGTTTGTTACACTTCGACTGTCACAATACCATATCTGAAAATAAAGCTGAAGAAAATTTTATTTAATAACATAAGAGTTAAATCTACAGAGGCTCATTTTCAGTAAAAAGGAAATCACATCATAATTTTTAATCTCTTGTTTTATAAGCTTTAAATGTGAGGAATAATGCAGTAAAATAATAAAAAATGCCTCAGAATCTCTGACTATTAGCTTCAATTTCATTCTGGAGAACAAAAAAAGCAGCTATATTCAGCAAGGAGAATGAAGACTAATATCATACTGTTATTTGCCAAAAATACATTTAAGGCTATGTGTGGGAGCATTGTCATGATGAGAGCCAAGCTTAATTGCACTGAAGTTCTAGTCCTTTGCAACAAACATCCTCATGCAATTGCCTCAAATTATTATAGTAAAAGTCTGAATTCACCATCTGACCAGGAGGAATAAATTCCCATTAAACTCCTTATAATAATAAAAAAAAAACAATCAACATGCTCTTTGTCGTGCTCCTGACTTATCTTATGGAGATTGTGATCTCATCCATAGCTTACTTGCATAGCCTCCAAAAGCATTTCAGGGGCCTAGGGCAAATTCTCAAAGTTTAATGTAAATTTAACATTTACTCTTGCTTAATTTTCTATTTCATTCTGAATTATAGCACTACACTAATATATTATAAAATCATGTGTAGTAAGTGTTCAATTTGAAAAATTCAACACCACTTGACAGGTTGATGCTCAAATGTCTAAAGACAGCAATCCTTGGTGGCAAAAAGAATGTACTGTAGTTTGCACTATCAAATAGCAAAAACAGTCTAGTTTGTTTTTGACCACATAAAGTAATTATTTCATTAATATTTCATTGAATAATAAAAAGAAATTTGAATGTATTTCAAATAATAAATTAATAATTAAACAGTTTTCTTAAACACACACACAATACATATACATATTGGATCAAAAATTAAAATATTTGATATATTTTATTATTTATCTAAATCACCTAAAAGGGGGTTTTTGGACTTATAAACAAATTGTCATGTCCTTCTAATCCGACTTTTTACTGGCGTTCAAGAATTACTCAGTAACAACTTTAATTTTCAGATGTTTTATTTATAAGAATTTTGAATCTGAAATGCATATAAAGTTGGATTAGAAATATTAGAAGTATAAAAGTCAGATTAGAAGGACATAACAATTTGTTTATTAGTCCAAAAACTCCCTTTTAGGAGGTTAAATAAATAACTGATTAAGCCAGCTAATATTGCTAAATTTATCTGTATATTTTATGATTTTAAAATCTTTACTATTGAGATGTCAAATTACATATAGAAAATGATTTCAAAATTAACAGATTAATATCTAAAACATATTATTTGCAGAAGCTTTAGTTTTCTAATTTTAAACAGGAATATGAAGAATGGGATTTTTAAAAAAATTATAAAGAGAATTTTGATAAAATGAACTAAGGCAAAGTTTTAAGCAATAAAATGAAATTAGTGTTGACTGTCAGCAGAAGAGTTAAAATTTTTACTTGCTTACAACAATTGATACTTATTTAATTCTGATATTAAATCAACAGGTTAAGTCAATATATGCAATGGAAAAATTAAATTACCAGTCATAATTTATAGCTTTTTATTGTAAACTAAGAATTTTTAATATACCTTTGGGTCTCCTTCCACCAAACACAATGGCATCAACAGGTACTCCTCTTGGATCTTCCCATGCAGGATCCATAATAGGACACTGCTTTGCTGGAGTGCAAAACCTAAATTAATTTATTGACAATTATTTGGAACTTTATTTAATAATTAATTCTAACAATTCATTAACAAAAAACGAAATTAAAAATTTTTCACAAATATTTCGAAAATGAGAAAAAATTTATTTATTCAGACCACTATACTTGAAAAGTTCAATTGCCATAAAAAAATTGAAATTTTATTTAAATGAGATTTTAAGCTATGTACAATAATGATTAATAGATTAATCATTAATGATATGGATTTTAGACATAAATATGTCTGTCAAAATTTTCTGAACTCAGAATTATTTGCTTTAGATAATTGATCCTTCAGAAACTTGGATTTGTTAGATTTCATTTATGAATCTTCATAATTTAAAAATATTTTGTATCTAATAACATACAATTGTTAACACATATTTTGCTATTTATATATATTTAGGCAAAATGTACATCAATTTGCAATTGAGAGTAAATAATACACTAAAATAAAATGTAAATACAGTAATACCCCAAACTTACGTTATAGGTGGAACCGAGCGATAACCGCGTAAGTCAGGGTATAATTTCGCAATTTGTGTAAAATCCAAGTTGGATGTATGTAAGCTAATAAATGTTCTCATTAATCTTATCTCATCTTTTGATTTGTTCATGGTTACAAGAAATCACCACATAGTCTCTCTCGAGTCTCCGTAGATATAACAAACACAAAATAAATTGTAGCTATGCATCAATTCCGTGCGACATGTCCGAACATGTAAGCCGAACAATAGTGTGGGGAAAATGAGTAATCGAGAGTTGCGTGGCGCTCAAACAAAAGACGAATCGATGAGATTTGAAAATCACGTAAGTTGGGGTAGCGTAGTCAAGGTTTTACTGTAGATACAATTAAAAACTTAAAAATAAAGTTTCATAATCATTAATCTTATACATTATGTTATAAATGCTTATAGTTTTGATAGATGATATAACTATATATTTTTAAGAATATTTAATTATTTGTGTTTTCAATTCCAAATATTTCTTTTGCATAAATCAATAATTTATATATTCATATTGTTCACTTTTAGAATATAATCAATTTAATATTAATTTTTAAAATCTTTATTATCTGCAGTTATGCTATTAAAGTATGAATATTAATGTTATTTAATTTTAATAATAAATGAAAATAGTATTTTCAATTCTGACAACTTGCATTTTCTTTTTAATTTGTTTATAAAAATTTTTTCAGTTGAGATTTCTATAATTGACTACTGATAAAGTGAGTTTCAAATATGTAATTTAGTTGATAATGAAAAGAACAATTTCACTTTTTATATCAAATTTCAAAAAATATAATTTGATTATACAATTGTGTAAAGTTTATTATTAAAAGGTAAATTTTGTCTAATACTTCTGAAACCTAAATTATTTATTTCTAAGTAGGAATCTAAATGCTTCAAAAATCATGCTATTTAATCTCTTATTTCCAGAAAGAAGTATATAGAGTAATATACATGAATTTAATTGGTATAAAATAATTTTAATCATTCTATTTTATAATGTATTTTTTTTTTTTTTTTTTTGTACATGCTTAACAACAACTATTTAATATTTTCAAAGGTACCAATTAGTCCCTAGTAATTTTTACTAACCAGGTGGAAAAAGTATTGCCATATAAACAAAACAATATTATAAAATTCTGTTATTTGTAAAAACAAATCCTCTTTCTACAAACACATTAGGTTTTAGAAACTGATTACAAATAATGTTTTCTGATCTTCAGATAGTTTTCCCACTCAATTCTATTCATATGCATTTCTTCATTAATGTCTCTCGCCATTATTTTTCATATAAAATAAAACTTTGTTTTGTGGCCACCTCAATTACAGTTTTACTGGGAACGTTCATAGGTGGCCTCATACAGTAAGTTTTAATGTAAATCAAATCCCATCTTGTGCTTCCTGTCCACTTCACTCAAGTGGCCAACATAGGAGCATCTGAAAGCGACATTTATCCCCATTTACATGGCTAACTCTGCATTACTAAACTTTTATTGTTTAAAGTACTTTAAACAAATTGAGCTTTGTTGCTGTAATTTGGGAATAGTTTGTCGAGATCTCTCCAACAGCTAACTAACATTCAAATAAAATATCTTCACTTCACTAACAAACTAAATTTAACTCCAGAATTTAGTATGAAGAAAGTTTTTATTTCTGTATTTTGTAAAAATATAACTGATCACTACAACACTGATATGTGATTTGCAACACTTAAAGAAAAATATCAGAGAGTCTGATGTAAAAGCTGATTTAATTATTAACACTTTTTCTGACACTTGGATAGTAATCAATTCCATTTAGTACTGACTGTAGTCTTTGAATGAACATTTCTGAAAACAGCTTACTTTCATTGTACATGTACAGTATCTTGTATTTCAATACACTATAATTTTGTGTTAATACATTATCCTGTATGAAAATTGAATCACTGTACATTATAAAAGTAAACTCAATAGTAAATTTTTATTGTCCTAGTCATAATGCAAAGGAAATGTGGACAATACTTTAAATGTGTACAACACATTTAATGTATTGTCCACATCTCCTTTCATACACTTTCAGGAAATAACAGTCTCAAGGCAGAGATATCTTTGTTTAGAGGCTTCTCATCCACTTGAATATGTCAAATGTTAAAATCTTGCCTCTGGTGATGGCATAATCAATTAAAAAATACATATATTTGAGGACACTTTTAAAATATTGTCAATTTCAGAATTTTAATAAATTTTCTAAGTTTATTATTTAGTCCTTTAAGTTTTCATTTTGTGAGAAAAATTTGATAGGAATTCTTGTTAGCATTTCATCAAAATTCAGTTAAATGACTATTTCTAAACATTATAAAATTTACAGAGACAATATATATTGTATATATTTTAAATATTTTTATTCTAACTTAAAACCCTCAAATATTGATCAATTCATGCTGAATATCTTGACAAAGAAATAAATGATTCTGAAAAGATTTATTGTAAATTGATGAAACTGATGATTATTTGGTAATATTTTATTCCATACATTTCTAAATTTTTTAAAGTTATTAAATAAAATTAAATACATTTAAAATATAAATAAATACCTTGAATTTGGATGTGCTGCTGGTTTCCCACTCTCTGGTGTCCAATTTTCTACTCCAAGCCATGATTTAATTTTCACTCCAGAAGGTATTTCATTTTCCATTCCTTCCCAATAAAAGCCACCATCACTAGTTTCAGCAACATTTGTAAACATTGTATTTTTTTGAATAGTGAGCATAGCATTAGGATTTGTCTTCATGGATGTACCTAATGAAAGATGTCACACTTATTTAGGTAAAACAGAATATTGTATTAGTTTTATATTTATGATTTTCTTAGTCATAAATATATATCATTAGAAATAACTAAATTTGTAATAATATATACATATATATATATAAATGTATTAATATGTATTATTAGAAATAACTAAATTGTTATTTCAAAAATGTGCACAGATATTATAGTAGTTATTGGAACTTACTTAATCCATAATCTTTAAGTTAACTTATTATCTTAATTTTCACTATCCTCTACTCTAATCAAGTATCATTTCACTTATGAAATTATGATATTATGCTATAAATTTATAGAAGTACTAGCTAGATCTGCTTCATCAATAGAGGCAAGACATTTTCATACCACATTACAGTTGTTGCACATCTCAAAAAATTGCTTATGATCATTAGTACTTTGAAATTTTGTGTTAATGTGAAATTGTTAATTATTGTGTTAAGAAAGAAGCACATACATTATATTGCTATATCATGTTTTTCATTCTAATAAAAAGTATTTCCTTATAACTGATTTCTTCTGTAATTTTATTTTATGCATTCAAAAACATTATTCCAAAATAAGTCCTTGACTTTTATCTGACTGGAAAAGAGGTCCATGAAACAAAAAAGGTTAAAAACTCCTGGTATTTAGTTTAGAGTGGCAGATAAGACATTTAACTAAAATTCAAATTTTCTAGAGTCAAGCAGCACTTTCTAATCCAAGATTCACAAACATATTTTGAAATCAAATTATAAATATTGTTGATTATGGGAAAGTCACAATCAAATTCATAAGTCAAGAGCTTATCAGTCAAAAGATAATTAGGAAAACTCTGATTCAAACTCATTATCTCTCTTGCAAAGAGATAATGAGTTTGAAGCAAAGTGTATAGGGTAATATAATTTAGAGTAAATAGTAAATCTGTTACACTAAATTACATTATCCTATACAATACAGAACTTCAACATGTTTCCCATGCTTTTCAACTTTTAGTTTATTTTTAACAGAACCTTTATTTTCTGAAGTTTATTTGAATTCCAGGGTTTAATCAAGGAAATACAGTATATCAAAATTCTAACAAGAGTTTAGATAAATAAAAATGAAGCAACAAATAATTCCATAATATCAATATTGAAAGTGATAATTTTGGAAGCCTTTTGAAATAAAAATAAAATTCTATTAGTCTCAAAAATATAAGGAACTGAACACTGTTTATTTTTAAAAAATTATAAAAAATTAAATAATAAATAATCAATTAATAAAATAAGAAAATCTTTTAAAAAAATTCGTTTCTTCAGTTTTGTTTTCAAAATCTAATATTTTATCTAAATATTTATAAACAAGCAATATAAAAATATCTAAATTTTTACCTGGTGCAACACCAAAAAACCCATACTCTGGATTAATAGCTCTCAGTTGACCATTCTCATCAAATCTCATCCAGCAAATGTCATCACCAACACATTCCACTTTATAACCAGGTAAAGATGGATTCATCATTGCTAAATTAGTTTTACCACAAGCACTAGGAAAAGCAGCAACAATATACTTTTTTTCTCCTCTAGGATTTGTTATACCTAAAATCTGTAAAATTATGGAAAGATGATAATTAAAATTTGTTTTGATATATAAATTAAATGTAATTAGGAAAAAAAATATAATTAAAATAATAGTTTCAAATTTTTGATTTTTAATTAAACCAAAATAAAAAGTTTTATTTTTAAAATAATTTTAAACACAAAAACAATCATTATTAAATTGTTCTTTCTAATCATTTAAAAAGGACTGCACTCTCATAATATAAGATTAAACTATTACAGAAGAAATAAATCAAAGATATAAAAATATAATGGCTGGATGGCAAGGTAGAAAAGGCATCAGCATGTTATCTGGAGGACCTGGGTTCAAGTTTAGATCAGGAATCTCATTTTTCAGAGATTTGTCCCAGATGTCAAGCCCTGTCCTTAATCATCCAGCTGCCACATTGTGAGTCTAGCCAAACCCATGATAAACATAGAAAAAAGGTCCTCTTAGTGTTCAAAGAAAGAGTGGAGAATAATAATATACTATATAAATACATATAAAATAATACCAGTATATATAAACAAATTTATTTGAAGTCTTTTATAAACTTATAAATATTGTATTTATTTTGGATTGTTGTTGTTTATAAAAATTTAAAAATAAACTTAAATTGCATTTTGTATTGTTATTGAGGTATATGATTCAAATACATCAAATAATATAAATTCTCTAACATTTATATAACTCAAAATAATTAGAAAGATTATGTTACTACTTTAATACTTATTTCACAAAACAGAATTTAATTTGTGTAAATTAACTCCAGATTATTAAAGTTTTATATTTCCAAAACAAACATTTAAACTAACAATTGTTTACATTCAACTTAGTTGATAAAAAAAATTTTCTGAAATATATAGAACTGAGTTTGGCTTTTAAATAACTATTTTAGATTTTAGTCTATATAAAAATGTATTTTAACATTATTTTGAAAAATTATTTTTAAAAATATACAAACCAACATATGTTCTGCCAACCATCCTTCTCTTTTAGCTAGAATTGATCCTATTCTTAATGCAAAACATTTCTTTCCCAAAAGAGAATTTCCTCCATAACCACTGCCAAATGAACATATTTCATTATTATCTGGAATGTGAGCAATGATTGTCTTGGCAGGATTACATGGCCAATTATTAACAGGTGGAACTACATTAAAAATACATTAAATCATTTATTACAATAAATTTTGTTTAATCAATAATATACATATAGTAAAGGATTAAAATCATCAATCAATAAATAATAAATTAGTTGTATCTTGTATTTATTTGCCAGATATCATAAATGTACATTAATTTATATTTTTAGATATTTACACTATAAAATAATGTTATATTTAGAAAAATCTTACTATACATCAGAACAAACCGTTACAGATTTATAATTGTTTAAATATATAGTAGTAATATTTAAATCAGTCAAAGATAATTTGATATATACTGGACTAATTTAACATTTTCTTTTGTTGATAATTTAAACGATCAAACTTAATTAACAGTGTAATTATAACTTTTGATATACTGTATAACATCCATACAATATTAGGCCAGAAATAGAACTAAAATCACTGATTTCACTTCTAATACTTACAGTACTTTAATTTTTATATTTCAAGTATTTGAAATAGACTATTAAATTATGGAAATATTTTCTGAATAATATGCAATTTCTTAATCTATTCAGAAAATAGAGATTGTAGAATCAATGTATAAGAATAATTTCAATGTGTCTGCAAAATGAAATTGTTAATACCTACTATAATTTATTTATAAATTGTAAGTTTGTGAGAAAGCTTATGGATTATTCTATATGACATTTGGATAGATTGACATTTCTATACAATGGTCCAGTATGTTTACGATGGTACATTATATGTTTATTGTAACCATACTTTGAAGATTGATATAACTAAATGCATATTTTATAATTTGTAATAAATTTTCTGTATTTTATATAAAATATTCAATAATTTAACTTGACTTCATTTTGCTTTTTAGTTACAGCTATATTATGATACATGAAATAAGTGAAAGATCGTATCTCATATTTACATTTTCTTCAAATAATTTTTTTGATTATTTCAACACTAAAATTTATGTTAATTAAAGTGTCAATTTCCACTTGAATTTATTTCTAGAAATGACTGAATGATACCAATTGTCAAAATTTAGTTCAATAATATTAATTAAACAAAATGCATTAAATTGTTGTTTTAAAATATATCAGAACATTTTCTCAAAAATAAAAACTATACAAGTACTTCAAAAATCAAGTTTTATTTTATTATTACTTAAACAATAGTAAAGACAATTTTACAGAAACATNTATCCCACTAATTTAGGGTTTAAAAAATGATTCAAATATAGATATAAATATATTAGTAGTAGAAATATTAAATAATATTGTGCTGTATTTTTGTAACCAGATATTAGTAGAAACAATAGTTAGGAAATTTTTTAAAGCAGAAACCACTTCTTAATACTATTAATTTTTCCTAATCATTTCTATTAAATTTTTTTCTAATATATATTAGAAAAAAATTTAATAGAAATGATTAGGAAAAATTAATAGTATTAAGAAGTGGTTTCTGCTTTAAAAAATTTCCTAACTATTGTTTCTACTAATATCTGGTTACAAAAATACAGCACAATATTATTTAATATTTCTACTACTAATATATTTATATCTATATTTGAATCATTTTTTAAACCCTAAATTAGTGGGATACAATTCTATTCATTATACAAATGTTAGTATGAGATTACGCATATAAAATACTAGCTGGGAAATGTTGAGATAATAGTTGAGGTTTAACATAACTCAATCCCCAAAACAACTCAAAATAACTAAACAAAATGGAAATGTTATAAATAACTAAATATAACTATAAATAAAAATCTCTCTTGCTATCTCACAAACAGTAAAAGTAAACACTATTATATCAATAAATGTTTTTTATAATTTTTTTTATTTTTGGATAAGGTATTATTTCAAAACATTCTTTATAATTACCACAGTTTTTTAAGAAATTCATTTATAAAATTAATTCAATAATATAAACAAGCTTAGCTATTCAAATATTAATGAAATCTACATAATAAGTTGATATAACGTAATAAGTTTATACAAACGTTGCATTGAATCAATTAAATTAAATACTACAATTCTGAATCTTTATGCATGTCAGTATTTTTAGTAGAAATTGTCAATATTAATTTTAATAGAGCAACACAATTTCTACAACAGTTTACAACAAGAATGACACTGATTAAATCAATATTAAATTTTTAAAATCTGTAGGTGATTCCTGTTATTTTTATCTCCATTATTATTTAGCTGAACTGTTTAAATGTAACTTCAATGTAAAATATTACAAAAAATATATTATAAATTTTAACTTCTGGCAAACAAAGTTTTTATCTTTTACATTTTAACTGATATGTTACACTTTTGTGTCAATTATTTCTAGCTTTTCTAAACTAAAACAATAATATTTTAGGGTTGAATTATCGATATGTTCACATTATGTAATTTCTGATAGCATAAACTCCCAAAACAAAAAGTTATTTTAATATATTTCATATTAAAATTTTGAACCAATTACATAATTTACATTTACAAATTAAAAAACCTCATTCAATTTAAACATACAAACCTTTCATTGGAAGTGGCTGTCCAATAGAATGCAGGCACTTAATGAAACCATCATCTATATATTCTAATACTTGTTCTCCCATTCGAGTCATTATTCGCATACAAGCAACAACATAAGGTGAATCAGTAAGCTGAATACCAATTTTAGAAAGTGGAGATCCAATTGGTCCCATGCTGAATGGAATAACATACATTGTTCTTCCTAAATTAATTGAAATATTCAAAATTATTTATCAATATTAAATAATAAATGTATCCTAGAATTAAGTATATTGTAAGCTTTATTTTATTCCTTTTTCTTTCTATTCTATTCTTTCTAATTTTGATTTATTAAAAATCATTAAAACTTTTATGTTGAAAATATAAAATAAAAAATTTATTTATCATCAATATGAAAAAACAATACTATTTGTATTGTTATTGTTGGATATTCATTTTAAGTTTTAAGCTACAACTTAAATAATTATACTTATACTGCATATGACCATATTTTGTGAAAAATCTCAAATTTATTTAAATTCAATCACACTATTAAAATCTAATCATTAACCTTAATTATTCATTATTATTATTATTATTGTGTTGAGTTTAGTGGGTAATACTCGGTTTAAACCGGTGGCTGTGTACTATGCCGGACCAGAGTCAAGGCATAGCAACCAAAACAAATTAAATAAGTGTGTCAGTGTCTGTATTCAGGAATTTCCTAACAATGTGGCATGTATTCAATATAGTGGCCTTCTGTAGTGTGATGTATGTATTTCTATTCAATTGTAATGTTCCCAGGCTTTTGTGTAGTGTGTGTGGTATCACACCTGTACAGGAGAGAACAACAGGTACAATAAGCACCCTATCCATCCTCCACAGATGCCTTATTTCCTGGGCGAGTTCTGTGTACTTGCTAATTTTTTCAGTGCATGTGTTTTGTACATTGTGAGTGTTTGGAATGGCTATGTCTATAATGTATGTGATTTTATTGTGTTTGTCAATGAGTGTGATGTCTGGTCTGTTGTGGTAAATTGTTTTATCTGTGATTATGGCTCTGTCGTAATACATTTTGTGCGTGTTATTTTCCAATACTGTCTGTGGAATATACTTGTAGTATGGTTCGTGGATGTCTGCCAATTTGTGTTTCTTTGCAAGCTCTTGGTGTATTATATTTGCTACTTGATTGTGTCTATGTAAGTAATCTGTCTGTGCCAAGAGCTTGCAACCAGAAGTGATGTGTTGTATAGTTTCTGGCATGATGTGACATTTTCTGCATGTGTCATTTGTGAGTGTTGTATCTTTGAGTATGTGTTTTCTGTAGTTTTTAGTATTTATGACCTGATCCTGTATGGCAATCATGAATCCTTCCGTCTCCCCAAAGAGGCATCCCCGATCTAACCAGCTGTTTGACGCAGTTTTGTCAACAAAATCCTGGGCCAGGTCGTAAGGATGCCTGCCATGGAGAGCCTTTTGAGCCCATGATTGCTTAATGTTGTCTATGCTTTTTATATGTTGTGTCATGTCTGTATGTTGTGAGTGTAAGTTTAATGGTGTGTTATTTGAGTCTGCTAGAGTTACTGCTTTATGTAACTGTGATGTTTCTTGTTTCTTGTAGAAAAACTCTCGCAGTGACTGTATTTGTTTGTAGTGAAGGTTAACTATGTCAATCAGGCCACGTCCGCCTTCTTTACGTGGAAGGGTTAATCTTTCTGTGGCGGATTTAGGATGATGTTGTTTATGCTTAGTAAGTGTTGTTCTTGTTTTCCTTTGGAGTTGCTCGAGATCTGTGTGAGTCCAATGTATAACTCCAAAAGAGTATGTGAGTACTGGGATGACATATGTGTTTATTGCTTTAACTGTGTGTTTTGCATTTAACTGTGTTCTAAGTATAGCGTTTAACCTACTTTGGTATTCTTTAATTAATCGTTGCTTTATTTGTGTATGTTCTGTTAGTTTGGCCTGTTGAAATCCTAAGTACTTGTAGAACTCGCCCTCTTCCATGGATTCAATAACGTTTCCATTTCCAAGTGCAAAATCTTCTTTCTTCAGGATTCCTTTTTCTATGTGAAGTTTTTTGCATTTGTCTAGGCCAAACTCCATTTGTATGTCCTTGGTGTATGAGTGTGTGATTTGTAGGAGTTGATGAAGTTGTTTCTCATTATTATTATTATTATTGTTGGCCAATTATCCATTAGTAAATCATTATCATTGAAAAAAAATAAAAATTTCTTATATTCAAATTGAAAATAATCATTTTTATACCACATTCAACTCGAATATAAAAATATATTAATTTGAAATTATATAAATTTAATTTACTTTGTCTTTTTTTATAACACATGTCTACAGAAATTTTAATTAGTTTTCTCTTAATACACACATATTTACATACACACACATACATACATAAGCATATGTACTGTACTGTACTGTACATATATATGCAGTTGTTGCAAAGTTAGTCAAAAATCAATATTGTAATACTAGAGATTGCATGTCAATGTGAATAGAGACTATAGTGAAATGAAATAATAAAATCCAAAAACACTTTTTAATTTAGTAATTTAGTTAAGAGAAAAATATAACCCACACTGGCTACACTGGCAAGAAATGCTGTAGAAATGTTATAAATATACGTAAGCTTTAAATGAATTTCAGTCATTATAAAAGAAAATGTTCTACTGAAAAAAGTTTCTAAACTTGAATAATGTAAGACCTTTAATTCATAATATTGAGAGTCACCAAAGAAAATTATTTATACTTAAAAATACTTTAATTTGATACTTTAATTTGAATTTGTTTCCTTTTCTTTTTTCACAATTGTGTTTCAAAAAATATTTAACACCTTACAGATACTTTCTACAGAAATATGGAGATTGTTATTTTTATACTGGTAATGATATCAATTTATGCTAATATTACCATATTACCAAAGATGGAATTATTTTTTTAATACTATTAGGCACTGACATTAATTTTATAGGGTACTTTGTAGTAAGATTTTGATATTTATTTCAAAAATTTTTAAAATATTCACTCTTCTCTCAAATATTTTAGATTAATTTGGAATGAATTACTCTCAGATTCAATTTGAAAAGTTTCAGCATAAATCATGTAATATCAATTAGGAAGACATGTGAAGGACTTATAGATAAGCTATAATTATCCCAATCAATACCCATTGCTGTTAAAATAAAATTAGCTTCTGAGAATAATTTGATAAAGCAGATTCAGTTTTTGATAACTATAAACTTACATAACTAATCAGATGAATATAGACTAGACTTTTCAACAGTTTTTGAAAAAAATTTTCTAAAGTTTTATTATGCTTTAAGAAATTAAAATGTTATTTTTATTTAAAAATGCAGATTACTTTTTTAATGAAATAAAATATTACTTAATATATAACAATCTTGAGTTATGAATATGTACAAAATTTACTAATTCATTACAGTATCATATCAATAATTAAATAAAGAAAGCTATTGTCAGTTTTTAAACTTTCCCATTTTCAAACTTATAAAAAGGAAATGTGTGTATCAATATTACAGTGTGACATCAATTTAGTGTTCAACATACAAGAATTTGATGGAGATGGATTTTAGGAAAATTACAACAGTGGGTAAATATGTCTTCAATGCACAAAATATTTTTCAAGTTTTCTACAGACCCTTCTGGTGACTTTAAACAAAGAAAAAGTTGCTTCGAGAGTTTACAATTGCAAGTTAAAATTGATAGACAAACTAGACCATCTTCCAATTGACTTTTAAACACAGATAACCTTCAGATTATCTGTACAAAATACAGTAGAGTCTCGAAAACTCGGCACTCGATAGCCCGGCAGTTCAGATAACTTGGCCACACCCTGGCAGGGCAAAAAAAATCCTTAGTTAATTAATTTTCATTATAGACAGCTTTATGCCTCAAAGTATTTTTCTGAGGTCTGTCTTATCAGGTAAATTACTGTACACAGTGTATTCATTAATTTTCATTTTCATGTAGTAAAGGCTCTATGCCTTCATAAAAGACATACTTTTCCTTTGTTTAAGGGTATTGGGCAGTTTATTCTCTGTTGTATTCTCAAGTAAACAATACATACAAGTACAGTACAGTATTTTCTGAGGAAACACTCATACTTATTTTTTTTAACCCCCATTCCCAATAACCCGGCATTTTCACAAACTCGGCCACCCTTCGGTCCACATTAGGGCGAGTTTTCGAGACTCTACTGTATTTTGTACAGATAATCTGAAAGTTATCTGTGTTTAAAAGTCAATTGGAAGATGGTCTAGTTTGTCTATCAATTATGTATTATGATAGATTATTTGTATATATAAAAGAACAAATAAATACTTTTTTAATTTTATCTTGTATCACTGGTGGATAGTAAATAGGTACAATGAACCACTTAAATATTATCTAAAGAACTTAGATATGGTAAATGAATTTGGCTGGATTGGAGTATAAATTTTCACCATGAGAACTAATAAACTTGTACATATTTACAAGATTTTGATTTATGAGAAATTTTCTGGAACAAGGTAAGCTCATAAATTGGGGTTTTGCTGTATTATTTATATGTATATTTAAAACTAAAATCAAAATGGAAAATAAAAAAAGGAATAAAATTATTTGGAAATTTTTTTATTTTCTAAAATTTAAATTATTATTTCTATTAATAATTTAAAGTTAATTATATAAAACTATAAACTAAGTAAATTTACTAAATAAAAGTGTAAATCAACTAAGGCAAGGTTATAATAAGAATTTAATGTTTTTACCTTTCATACACTGTGGAAATCTTTCATTGAAAGCTTTCTCCAAATCACTTAGTGATAACCAATTTCCAAGCATCCCTTTAACTCCTTCTTTAGGAATTGGAATGGTATCTCTTTTATTAGGGGTAGATATGAATGTCAAACTTTCTACTCTAGCAACATCAGCAGGATCTGTTCGTGCTAACCAACTAAAAATTTAAAAATTTTCAGTATAAATCAATAACACTTTAAATAATTTTAAATTAGAATTAAATGTATTTCATACCAGTTTTCATATTTTGTTAATGGTACAATTATACCTTGCTTCTGCATCATATTGAGCAGTGCAGTATTTTCTGCATCACTTCCATCACATATATGAATATTATCTGGTTGACAGAGATTTGCTTTATCTTCTATATATGATCTTACATTTGGGTGCAACCTTTTCAAGTCACCATGAACAACACCAAAAGCTCTTATTCCATGCCAAATTGCATTGTGTGCAGATAAGGCTTGATGTACACTTTTGGGAATAGCTTTCCTATATCTATACCAAAAAAATTAATTTTCAATTATTTGGAATAATTTCAATAAAATAACATTTTTTACATAAAAATCACTTTAAAATTAAAATTTATATTTTACTAAAAACATCAAAACAATTTTAAAATATTTTATAGATTAATTTCTTGTTATACAATAATAATGTATTTATTTACAATAACACCAATTCAAACTTAAACTTTTATTGTAAATAACATAATTTATATATTTCTCTATCAATTAAATTGCAAGTTAAAATAAATATTTAATTATTCCTTCAAAGTACTATAAATAATTTTCATGAACATCAGTAAATTAATTGACAGGTAATGGGGTTTTAATGATTCCTTATAATTCCTTATTTTGACATTGAGAAATGGGTTCATAAATTTTTCAAAAATTTTCAGTCTAATATAAAAAAATGTAATTATTCAAGATAAATAATTTGATTTTCTATATTACTCTAAGATATTTTATATTATATGAGTCCTTACACTCCATACTATCACAACTTCCTTTCCATACTTCTTATGGAGTTCCATCTATCTCTACTTTAAATTGAGTACTTTTACATTATAACTTTTTTGACTATTTAAGTACAAAATCAAATGTTACTTAATTGTTTTCAATTTGAGATTTGACTTCAAATCTGTCAAATAACATTTTTTTATTTTACTATTAAATTTTTTTCTTCAATTTTCAACTTTTGATATGAAACTTGCAGGGTGCAAAACAGTACTTTGAAACTATGAATTAAATTATAATATTAGGTTGTTCGGAAAGTACGTTCGTTTTCTTTTTACCACTAGATGGCTGAGTCATATTTTTCCCGCCATTTTCATTCTAAACCGTATTATCATTATATATTTTGACAGCTAGCATTTTAAGGTTTATTTGTAAAAAATTTTGTTTGATTTTGTGCAATTGTTTATTTTTTGTGTCCCATCAAATACGGAAGATTGGAAGCAGCATTTTCGGAATATTTTGCTCTTTTATTACCGAATAGGTAAGAATGCTGTTCAAGAGAGAAAAAAATTATGTGACGTGTATGGAGAAGATGTGTTGAGAGAAAGACAGTGCCAAAACTGGTTTACAAAATTTCATTCTGGCAATTTCAATATTGAAGATGCACCACGTTCTGGATGGCCAGTTGAAGCCAATGAAAACAAAATAAAGGTACTGATTGAAGCAAACTGCCGAATAACAACACGTGAAATCACTAAGAGATTAAATTTGTCAAATTGAACCGTTTATGATTACTTGAAACAAATTGGTTTCATTTCAAAGCTTGATATATGGGTTCCATATGTTCTTAAAGAGAGGTGCTCTCTTTGGTGGGATTTTAAGGAATTTTTTTTTGGAGCTTTTACCAGACAATTTAACAATTGATTCGAAAGTGTACTGCCATCGAGTAAACAAATTGAGTAATATCATCAAACAGAAAAGACAGCCAGATTTGATCAACAAAACAGGTGTAGTGTTTTACCATGATAATATCAAATTTCACACAAGTTTGGTAACTTGTCAGAAACTGTTATAACTTAGATGGGACATGCTATCACACACCAACCATATTTGCCAGATTGAGCACACTCAGATTATTACTTGTTCCAGTCTATGCAAATTTTTTTAACTGTAAGACATTTACTTGAAATGACAATGTCAAAAATCACTTGGATCAGTTTTTGTAAGCAATGATCAAAACTTTTATAAATGTGAAATCATGTTACTACCAGAAACGATAACAACAGGTATTTGACGAAAATGGTTGATATATAATTCAATAAAATATTTATTTATTATTAAAATATTGTGTTTTTTCCATGGAAAAAACTGAACTTACTTTCCAAACAATCCAATAGATAATGATGATTTACACACTATAAATCCACTACTGGATGAAGGTTCCTGTAATCTCTTCCATTTTTCTCTATCCAATGCTTTGGTTTTCCAATTTATGCCATTTTTCATTATTTTGTCACTCCATAGTACTTGGAGTCATCTTGAGCATTTGATCTCTTGTAAGTGTACTGCCATCGAATAAACAAATTGAGTAATATCATCAAACAGAAACGGCCAGATTTGATCAACAAAACAGGTGTAGTGTTTTACCACTACACTTTGCAGGTTGAGTGCTAATAGAACACATTGGTTGAATATTTTTCTTTTCAGGAACAGTGGCAATTACTTTTGAAAATTATGCTATTTTTGCCAAATATATAGTAACAGATATAGTATTAAAATGTGTGTATTTATATATATATTATTTATTTTAATACTATGTCCATTTTTCATATACTTTATAAACATATATATATTTATGATTATAGCAGAAATATTCGGAAATAAATTCAATAATTTTTATATAAGTTTACTGTGATGTGATAAAATGTCATTCAGTTCTTTTCAGTGCTCCCAACTTGGTACATATACTTCTAAAATTTCCCATAAATTAAAATAATTAGAGAAGACTGTCAGACAATTTTCAACAATTCAAAAATTTAATTTTTTAAATAAGTTATAGGAAGAAAAACGTGCTCTGTAATTAAATACTACAATAATAATGATAAATGTTCATATTACTATAGAGCTTATCCATACAGATTATCATTAGAACTACATTCTAAATAATTCATTTCAGACACTAAGTTTAGTAAAATTTGACTTGCTTAGGGATAAACTCCTTTAAAATTGGAAAAATTGCTGATTTAAATAGAAGCCACCTAAATTTGCTTTGAACAGGAGACAATTTCAGAAATCAAGAGGCTGTATGGAGGGAACTAAACAGCATTCCAAAAAGATCCCTTCATAAGAGTATATGTAAATTACTAAAGCATACAAAACTTGTATAGCTCTCAGAGGAGTGTATTTTGAAGATTGATACTAAGTTAAATCATTTCTTTCAAAAACTCAAAAAAAAAGTTGTTTAGAAATTCAATCCCAGAAATTAGTAGACATGTGTTATAAGATATAATATTCATATTCTGACATGACTAAAGATTCTAGCTCATTAATGTCAAAGTTAAAAATTTCTCTTATTTTCATTTATATTCATATTCTCATTCTCACTTGTCAGCATCATTGCAATTTAAATAGATTGTTAAAATAATAATGAGACATTTATTTTTCAAACAGTAAAAAAAAATAAAAACAAAAAACAAAAATAATAAAGAGAGAGAGAACTAAGTACTAAGAGAGAATGAACCATTTAATATAAAAGCAATTGCCTAAACTTGTCTCAATATAAACAAAATTACCTTTGCAACTCGTCTGACTTTCATTTTCAATCAATGACAAATATGGATAAAATTACAACTATTACAAGGTTTACAACATAAAAAATACTTCTTTATTTTTAATTTCATTATACAGATTATAGGATATCCATATAATTTATTATAGAACTGTTTTTTTATGATTAAATTTTATGATGGATGAACTTTCTGTATCAGTACTAAACAAAAATTCAAGTTGGATAACTGCTGTAGATAAGATTATATGATTGTAAACAAAAATTGTCACTTTTTATTTTTCTTATAAACTATAATCTTGATTGTGAGGAGGTATAAATATCTTCCAGACATACTGCCTTTTCTTCCTTGAGTTTCATTGAAATGACAGAAAATTTATATAAATTACGATATTTCATATTTTTTTACAGTAGTATGTTTTATAATAATAAAATTTTATTTTTTATATTTTGATGATGCTTAAAAAATACACTACTGCAAAATAAATCAACCAAAAGTGATAAATCAAACATTTTTATTTGTAATAGAATAACTTCATATATATAATGCTATCCATCTACCAAAGCCGAATATTATTGGGCTAGAAACAGCTATAATAGCCCGATAATATTCGGCTTTAGTAGATGGATAGCTTTAAATCATATCAGGTATAGTAAAGTTGTTTGATTACATATATAATGCTTCTACCATTTTTAAAAATATAGTAGAAACATTAAATATATAAAGTTTGATTAAATACAGAAATTTAAAAATAATATTGTTTATCATGATCAAACTAATGAATCCACCAAAAATATTTTCTAAAAGAACAGCATTATCTCAACTTTTTAATAATATATATTTTAATGTTCCTGGATTTAATATATTTGCATCTCAATTTAAAAGAAAGTTATTTGAAATTCATTTTAGTAGACTTATTTGTGTCATTCTTTAGGTCACTCTGTAATCAAAATAGATTATTAATACATATAATATCCATCAATCTGAAGTTAAAATGCAGAAAAAATACTTCTTAACTAATTACAGAGTATTATATTAGATTCTTTCTTAAAATATAGTAATTGTTCAATCAAGAGATATATGATGATATTATATTATACACAATTTGATTTTTACACTTATTAGTTATGAAATTATTACATTTTACTTTATTATTTTGAAATGCAATTTTGTCATTAATAAAAAATATTCTTTTACATATCAAACTATACTTATCATTATTATCAAGATACATTATTGTAGATTAAATAAATCTTTTGAAAGACCAATTGTGTAGGAATTATAAACTTCACATTTACTTACTCATAATAAACATAGAATTTACTGAAATGATTGTTCAAAAGTATACAAAGCTTTCTTGATTAAATTTGAAATATTGGAAAAATTGAGTTAAAACCTTATAACAACATTATGACTTCTTTAGAGTTGTCAAAATAATGAGTTGCCAAAATAAGCACCATTACAAATGTATAAACATATATACATACACATAAAAAAATTATTTCATGTAGAAAAGTTATTTTCACCCTAATAAAATTACAATTTTAATTATTAAGTAGGTAATTAATAAAAGCGATACAAATAAATCTGTACAGTATTTTAAATCACTTTCAATTTCTAATTATATACTTCTATAAATTTTCAATACATTCTCAGAGAATAAAAAGTAAAAGATGAATTTGAGAAAGTATCTAAAGTAGGTCAAGACTATATTCTACAGAGATCACTGATCTAACAAGTTTAACCCTCTGATCAGACTATTAAAACCAGATATGTATTCCTTTTTACCTTAAAGACTATAGAAATTTTTTACTTAAACTTTTTCTTAACTACCTTGACCCATTTTAAAGTGACTTAAATCATCCTTCATCATCAATTACTAATTAAAAAAACTGGGATTTAAAATTAATTTAATGAATAAATTTAAAAAACTTGCTCCTTAAATTAATTTTAAATTCACAAAAAAACAAGAAAAATTCATGTTTAGTAAATTTTTAAAATTAAATTGAAATAATCGATTATTCATTGTTATTTTTTTAAACAGCCTACTGTATGATTGATATGACTATGCGCTTTATAACTTTAAAACAAATGTATTATTCTAGGAATTAATATTACATAAAATTAACACAATTAATGCCTTTAAAATTAATCCAATNCAAAAATTTATTTTTACATTAAAAAACTATAGAAAAATAATTTCTACTACAAGAATATATTCTTGATATGCTCCTTTAAGTTATCAATGTATGGAATAGCTTAACTGAAATTTTGAAACTTTTCTAAAGGACTGTAGGATTCAAAATGTGTTGGCAATACTTTTTTCACTTTATAACAACAAATCAAATTAAAATTGTCCACACTTCTTAGAATATAAATTCTTTTCAAAAAATTTTGTAAAATTCTATGATAGAAAAATTTCCAAATCTTTGTCAAAGTATAGTTTGTCAACTCGAGTCTAATATTTCATTATCAGAAGATAACTAGAAACTATGGAGTGTATAGTACATAAAGATAAATAAAATTTCATAACAATAATCTTGCTGTTATGATTTATGTAAGATGGACTTGATAAAAACATTTAATGTTATGAAACATATGATATATTCTTTTTTATGATACATATTTATTTGCAACATTAACTCCACATGGCAACAAACTTCCATACTGTCTCAATAATTTCTTATATTTCATTAATTTTTATAATTAAATTGAAATAATCGATTATTCATTGTTATTTTTTTAAACAGCCTACTGTATGATTGATATGACTATGCGCTTTATAACTTTAAAACAAATGTATTATTCTAGGAATTAATATTACATAAAATTAACACAATTAATGCCTTTAAAATTAATCCAATTTCAAAAGAAACTTAAATGTTTTCGGATGTATGACGTCATTAAACTGCGATAACGTCATCCGAATGATAAAAATTATCATATAAGCAAAAAGAATTTTTCTAAGAAACAAAGTCGAAGAAGACAAAGTCTAAACCCTGGGGTCAAATAAAATAGGTCAAAGCTTAAATTATTTCAAAACATGGAATTTGAGATCAGCGCATCGTCTCTTAATAACCATGATAATTTTGTCTATTACTTTTGCGGATCGTATTACAAAATTTTTTTAAATATATAATTTATAAACACCATAGCCGATCATAAACAACGTGTTTACTCAACGTTAATTTCCATTACCGGGTGACCTCGATTAAAAGATAAATCAAAACTAAACACGTGTCTGACTACATATGCGGACTCTAATCGAGATATTGCGACCGAATATAGAATGAAACGCTTATAAAAATGTATTAGAATGCTAATTTCATATCAGTTTTATTTCATCAATCAAAGTAGAAAGTGAAAAACTGATGGTTCCGATCCAGAACCCATGCGTGGAATGCCTGCAAAGGACACGACGACATTCCTGTTTGCGCGAACAAAGGCACGTACACGCTTGGCCATGATGTACGTCCTGATTGGTTAACAACTTGACACACCTTCGCAAACTTCTTTTTTTCGAATGTATAAAAGTAAAAGATGCCAAATATATTTTTTAAAACTGAAAGATCAATTTAAATAAATAAAATAAATTTATTTAATAATTAATTTACGAATTTCTCTTAACTAATAATACATTTCGTATATTAATATTTATAGAAAAAAAAAAACATTTATGCGAAAATTTATGTGAATTTTATTTTTAAAAATAGGGCAAACATACCTTAAAACAAATGTAAGGAGCGACATCTTTTCCGTAATGCTACCTGCCGATCATAAGTAAGAAAGCACGAACCTACGCCAGAAGAAACTGCTTTAAGTATTCATTAGTTGTCACATCCGATTGGTTCTTTGATGTTGGCCATTGGTAGTGACGTCATTAGACGTCTATACATGACGTTTTTGATAATATCTGAATAAAGGACATTGGAAACTGTTATCAC